CAGCCTGCTGCCACTACGACTTAACATCGACCAGGTAACTCCGACTCCTGAACACTAACAGCGGGTGTAATCCACTCTCAGTCAGATTCTTTTCTGTTTTGAGTTGTATTCGTAGCTGTTATGTGAGTGCTTCAGGCTGTAGAGACTCTGTTTTACCTTTTATATCAACATTAGAACTGTATCAGATTGGAGATTGAAGTTTCAAGTAGTTACAAAATTAATGATTGCACATATCACATTTGTAGTGTATTGATCCTTTGGTACCAGAGTTTAGTACATCATCCAACCAGCCTTTTTTTCTGTCTCCTCTGCAGGACGCACTGTTTTTCCTGAAGGACTTTTTCAGTAATCTAGCTTCCTACGTTAACCCTTACCTGCCTGTGGACCCTGCAACTGAAGGTGAGCTACGTATAATGATGTTTTTTTACTTACTGAAGTTATATACTTAATTTCTGCCAATAGATCCTCTTAAATGTTACACACTTGACCTTTAAGGGCTTTTGTCATAGACATAAATATTAAGATTTTAACTAGATCTGTCATGCAGGCTTCTCTCATTTGCTAAGCAGCAAGTACTACATATCATCAGTGTGGCGTGATTAATTTTCAGTGGCTGCGGAACATTTTTATATGATCACTGATGGTAATTTTGAGCATGTTTAACATTTGATCTTATATTTGTTTTAAGAATGTCTCTGGTTAATGATTTTTTCTATATTTCTCTCCATTTATTTTTTAGTGAAGGCAGACCCCTCCCAGAAGACATCTGAGGAGGCGGAGTCAGCCGCAGGTCTGGGGCCTGACCTCACAGCTTCTGTGGAAACTACCTACAGCGAGCAGAGCTCCTCCTCTGCCGGCTCCACCTCCTCCTCCGACCAGCCAATCTACTTCCGGTAACGCTAATAAAAATACTCACAACTTGTCTGCGACAATTAAAGGTTTAAAATATTTATATAGTCTCTCTTCCTCCCCTGCTATTTTTAGGGAGTTTCGTTTCACCTCTGAAGTGCCTATCTGGCTTGACTATCATGGCAAACATGTCGTCATTGAACAGGTGAGAGCTCACTCACCTTGGCCAAAAGCTTATAATAAAGAAGTCTGTGTATTTGAATTGTCCAGACTGGCTGTATTTTCACACTCCTTCTGTCCTGCTCTTTGTTTCACAGGGAACGTTTGCAGGGATTCTGATCGGTCTGGCCCAGTTAAACTGTTCTGAGTTGAAGCTGAAGAGGCTCTGCTGCAGACATGGGTATAAATATACACCTCCAATACAGACATCTCATTTGTTGCTTGAGTTAAATTCCCAAATCTGTTCAGTGTTCAGTGGTTTGGGACTTTTTGTTTGAAAAGAAAACCAGTTGAGTTTCTTTTTTCTGCAACACTTTGCAGTCTCCTTGGTGTAGACAAAGTGATCCAGTACGCCGTCACAGAGTGGCTGACAGACATCAGGAAGAATCAGCTGCCGGGCATTCTGGGAGGTGTTGGCCCAATGCACTCGGTTGTCCAGCTATGTGAGTTGATGCTGCTTTTGTCTGCTCCAAACAGTGAACATTATCAGCTCTTCGTGTTCTTTATCCTGTTTTAACTCGTTCCATTCTTTTTTTCCTCTCTTTCCATCTCTTTTCTCCAGTCCATGGAGTGAGGGATCTGTTCTGGTTGCCCATAGAGCAGTACAGGAAGGATGGGCGCATTATTCGAGGTCTCCAGAGGGGGGCAGCATCCTTTGGCACCTCCACAGCATCAGCTGCTCTGGAGCTCAGCAACAGGCTGGTGCAGGCCATACAGGTAGTCTGTCTACAGGATTTTATCACAAAACATAATCAATTATTGACATTTTAAAATGCTTTTTAACTCCACTGTTGATCATTTCTCTTACAGGCCACAGCAGAGACGGTGTACGACATTCTGTCTCCAACTCCTCCCCTGAACCGCTTCGCCATCACAGAAGGCCGGGCCCCGTCCAGCCGGCCTCGCAGAGCCGCTCAGCCCGCAGACCTCCGGGAAGGTGTGGCCAAGGCCTACGACACCGTCAGAGAGGTGTGTCCCCAAACTTACCCTCTCAAAATTGATAATGGACCCTTTTAGAGAACAGAGAATGAGCTCTCACATTCTCACATTAACTGTACTGTCGACTTTCTACTAATCTGATCATATGAGAAACCCAGTTCATAGAATCTGGATCGGGGATTAGTAAAACCAGATTTTGTCTGAAGGATGAAATTTCTTCCCAGATTTATAATCGGTGATCTTTGTCTTCTGTGATATAACTGAAAATCTTTGGGTTTTGAACTGTTGTTTGTAACAGTTCAACTCCGGGAACAATTTCTGACATTTTATAGACCAAACAATTAATAGACAATTCCAGCATAACCTGATTTCGTTCTGTTGGTTCCTTGTCTGCATATAAAAGCACTGAGAAACTAAATATTTTGACTCTCTGCTCTCCAGGGAGTGATTGACACGGCTCAGACCTTGTGCGATGTAGCATCCCGCGGCCACGAACAGAAGGGTCTGCCCGGTGCTGTGGGTGGCGTCCTGCGGCAGATCCCGCCCACCGTGGTCCGACCTTTAATAGTGGCCTCTGAAGCCACTTCCAATCTGCTCGGTGGCATGCGGAACCAGATCAAACCAGACGCTCGGAAAGAGGATTTCCTGAAGTGGCGCACGGAGGAAGGCCAAGAATGATGATAGCTTTTTTTTTTTTTGGTCCATGTGAGAGAGAAAGTGTCTCTGTGTGTGTGTGTGTGTGTGTGTGTGTGTGTGTGTGATCATGACTGGGAGAGTCTAGGGTTTGAATGGGTATTTGCATGTGTGTACGGACTAATAAGAGTCAGTGTGTGCTCCCAATGCAAAAACAAAACAACGACTAACGACTACTGCAGTTACTGACACCCAGTGTTTTACGTGGCTCCATCATACATCGACTTCACCAGATTGAATCACTCTGTTTTGCATTCATTAAGAGCTCTCCTCTTATATCCTCCACTCAGTGATACACTAGTTACTATGTAAATGTGCAAACATATCATCATCACTCTCGACTGGCTTCATTTTCAATCCAACCAAGGGCACGTAGGAATATCACTCTCAAGGTTTCACTAGATAGACACATATTGAGGGCACTTCATGAATAGTGCTACTGGAAATTGTTTGTATTTTAATTTAATTAATTGAATTCTGGCACAATTTCACCGTCTTCCAGGTTCATGGAAAAGAGAAACTGTGTAAAGTGTAAAGAATAACTTTATTGTGAGACCATCATGTTTTGGCTTTTGGAGACTGTTGAATGAACCTTGGAAGTAACTGATGTCAGAAATCTCTGCTTTATTGTGTTCTTATTCACTGTTCAATCACTGACTGTGAACAGCATCACCAGAAAGGGTTTCCAGCTGATTAATTAAGATATCAGTTGACCTTTCTTGGGTGCAATGTGCGATGAAGCACTTTGGTCTACTTCTTGTCCAGGGATGCTCATAGTGAAGACATGTAGAATATTTTAATGAAGTGTCCTTTGCCAACAGCCTCTAGTTGTTGGCAGATGGTTTTCCCCCAGACTTCACAACCCAATGTCCTTGGTTCAGGTTTGGCCCCGTTTTGCACCTGTTTCTCTCAGTGCTGTTATTTGTGCCATAAACCTTGCAGAGTGCCCTTTTTAACTAGTTTGTGTTGCCTTCCTCAATCCTGCGCCCTCCCCACTACAAGTATAACACATACTGGCTCATATTGATACACGTTTCCTGACTGAATAGAGACACCGGATCACACGAAGCCTCTAAACTTTGTAGCACATTGAATTCTGTTGAAGCTTCACAAAGTCAAGTTTGACTTGAGTCGTCTGTAACTCACAGTAAACTGTCCAGATGTCAGCCAGTGGTTCTTCTACCTGCAGCTCATTTGTGCTCCTGTTTCCATGAAGAGTTAAAGACTGGGATCTGAATTAACCTTCTTTGTCTTCAGAATTGCTTTGCCCACTACTTTAGTTGCCTTCCTGCATATTTGTTATGTTTCTTTATTTCTTATTTTTTATTTTGTTAAAACATAAGTATTGTCATACTCATTTTCAAAATAAGAGTTAAGAGGATGTGAATCTGGTGACAGTGGAAGATGAAAATTGGGTTTTGTGGTTTAAAAAAAGTTTTACATTTTTATCTTTTTTGTTTAATAAGTGTAAGGGATGTGTCTCTCTGTGTGTGTGTGTGTGTTTGTGTGTGTGTGTGTGTGTGTGTGTGTGAGAATGAGAGAGTGTTTGTGTGTGCGCATGATGCATGTCTGTGAGGGTAACAGGTTGGTGCTTGTTACATCTCTTGTGTGTAATTACTATTTACTATGTCATACTGTATGAATGACCTGTATAATACAAAGACAAGGAGTATACAAATTAATACAAAAAATAAAAAATTTGAGTATTAAAAACTGAAAGATTCATCTTTGTCTGACATTTGTGCTGCTAATGATCACCAATATTTACTTATGGTTAGTGGGGGAATGAAACCGGGTACATTTACTTAAACTCCACTTGAGTATTTCCATATTATGTTACTTCAGACTTTTTACTACATTAATTTTACTTTAGAGCTGTTAATTGTTGCTTTGTAAACTTGAAAACGTTTTAGTTTCCAGATTCAAAACATATGATTGACTGATGAGTTAAAGCTACAACATTAAAAGTCTGCTTACATGTTAATGCATCAGCAATACTCCAATCATATAATATAAATGAAAATATTCTTTGTAAAATATGCTGTCTGAGAATACTGTTTCATAGTTAAATTTGAATGTATTATTTTTACTTTTTAAACTTTATTTCTACATTGAGTTACAGAACAATCTGAATACTAGTTATTGTAAATATTACCCAATACACTGGTCCTAATTGTATTTTTTTGACATATAATGTTGCATTAAAGTGACTACAGAGAAGCATCAATATTAAAAACAGATACATTTCGGCTATAATCAGGGAACCAACTCAAGAGCAGAAAACGCGTCGGGGACGTTTTTTATCGACGGAACAGCCGCTCTTCCGGTCCACATGTAAACGTTACAGCGTGACTGACAGACCGACAGACTGAGACTGACAGACTGTAACTGAGCTGTGTACATTCACATTAAACACACTGCTGCTACAGTCTGCTGGGAACATGAAGCTGCTCACACACAACATGTTGACGTCTCACGTGAAGGGCGTCGTTAAAGGATACCCGCTGCTCATCAAGGTGAGCTAACTGCTAACTGCTAACACTTAAAACAACTTTTGTGTTGTTTGTCTTCCTGAAATAAAAGGAGACAGAGACGATAACTTACAGCATTAAGTCGGAGGATTGTCTGTCAGGTTTGTTAACTTTAACGAAGCTTTCAGTTTAAACTCAGACAGCCTCTGTAATGTGTTTGTTTTGAATAATTAACCAGTTAGCAACAGAAACATAACTTTCTCTCCTCATACTGCAGAAATAAATAAACAAACAAACATATATATATATATATATATATATAATATATTGCACCTGCAGCTTACACTACAGTTTCTTTTACTAAATATCCCAAAATGCAATGCTTCACAGTTGATTATATAAATACCACTTATGTTACACTACACTGTAATTAAAACATAATGTGGACAATCTCGGTTTATTGTAGAATTCAATATTAACAGCAGCAGAAATTAAATGACAATGCAACAAACACTACTGAGACATTTTTGGGTGAACTAAATATGCACGAGTAGGGCATTTATACCTGCTTCTTCAGGCACCACTGTGGGGACCCTCAGTAAGTGTGTTGTTTCTTCCTGGTGTTTCGTTTGTGAAGGCAACCGAGGTGAAGATGAACGAGGTGGAGTTCAACCCTCAGTTTGTCAGCAGGATGATCCCCAAACTGGAGTGGGGCGCTCTGGTCGAGGCTGCAGAGGGGGTGAGTCGGACTGCGCCAGAGACTCTGCGGGCATCCAGAAGATGTCACATTAGAGAGATATGGATAAAACCTTATAATCTGTCACTTATCTCTCAGTATAATCAACAATGTTCTTCGATTTGAAGCAATTTATATGTTGGAATCAGGAAAAACTGACCTGTGGGAATCATGTTTGGATGGTAGTGGAAGTGTATCAGTAATTTGTAGGGCAGACGTTTTCAATCCTTCCACAAGCTCACAGAGGATTTTGGTGATATCTGCAAACTGGGGCTGCATTTTGTTTTGCCCAGGAGTTCAAAAGCAAACACTTTTTTGATAATTGTGAACACTTAAGAAGAATCTGGTAAAGAGATCTTATGTCAAACATCGAAGTACATATATGGAAAAACACGGCTGACGTTCAGTGGACAAATATACATATTAATTGTACATCTGTTAAACAGGTATTTGTTCTACATTCAATGTGGGGTTGTTCTTTTTTGTGACATCGGTCTAATTTTTAAATGTGTATGAAGACAGAAACAAGACAGAATGAAAATATTGGGAGTATATAAATATAAAGGCTTTTTTTTAATCTATTGTTCTATCCATCTATTACTGTTCTCTTCTTCCACCCACTAACATCCTCTTAAGAATTCACAGCTACCCAGTTTGAACGGTTTGTTTTCCTTTCATAGTTGGGTCAACGGCAGGACCTGCCGGGTGAGCTCGTGCCAGACTACGAGAAAAACGAAGACTTCCTGAAGAAGGTGCACAGAGTGCTATTAGAGGTAAGGAGCTCACAGAACTCACACTGGTGAGTGTTTCTTTTCACTGTCATAGTACCTAACACACATAATGCAGATTAATTGTCCTGTCAATCAAGTAATCAATCAATTAATCCAGGGCAATGGTGGACTGCAGGTTAGAGAAGTAAGCTTGTGACTAGAAGGGGAAAGTGAAAGGCAGCACTTGCTCTGCTGTGAACGTGTGAATGTGATCTGGTTGTTTCTGTAAAAGAGAGCATTGCTCTCAGTGAAACCCTCCTGAATAAATAAAGGTGGAAAACAATTTGACTAATCGATGCAGCTCTCGTTCTTTTCCCCGTGGTGACAAGTAGAGATGTTCTGATACCATTTTGTCTTTCCGGATGCCTGAACTTTGGGTATTGACTGACACAGAGTATCAGTCAAACAGGCTTAGTATACTACTGAGTATACTTAGTGACTCAGATGACTTCACTATCCTATGAATGGTGAACAGGACACTGCTGGGAACTAGCAGAATCCAGTTTTGGGGCTAATGAATTCTGGGGTATCAGATTGGTGCACAAACATGCACTTGCGGACTCCGTATCAGAACAACTCCAGCTACAAAGATCTTGTTTTGGAGCAAATATTCTCATTCACAAGTTGTTTTAGCTCTTTAATTTTCAGTCAAACAACCCTGAAACCACCTTTAACAGTAAGGAACAAGTTCTTTGTTCCTGTTTGTATTTTCCACCTCTCCGTTCTTGATATTATTTACCGTGTGGATCCCAGCAGCTTTTCCTTTCTTGTTTCACTTAACACAGTGTATCATTAATATAATTATGGCATATCTTTGTGTAGAGGATTTAAGTACACCTTTTGGTTAAAACTACAGCTTACAGTATTCACTCAGAAAGATACGGTATGCACTCGACATCCTGTTTACTGGCAACAGCAGTTAGCAGCAAAGCTTTCATGTAGTTGTTTCCTGCCCAGTGTCATGTTTTTCATTGTAGAGATCAAACACAGGAACTAAAATACTATAGTTTTAGACATTATCTCTCACACACAGTGATTGTTGAACAACTCATTCCAAAACCATTAGCATTAGTGCTAAATGGACTCATAAAGCAATTTCTACTGTAATGGAAAAGTGTTTTACTATTTATTATTCACTCACTCTCTGACACACACACACACACACACACACACACACTCCGACTGCGACAGCGGCCATTTAAGGATTTATGGCCTGTCCATCAGGACCAGAGAATTAATGAGCTCGTCTCAGTTCATCTCATGAGGTGTTGGATGAGGTCAGGGCTGTTTCTGTATGGACCCTTTGTGGAAGGAGGCACTGTCACATTGAAAGGGGCTTTCCCAAACTGTTGTAAGCACTCAGTTGTCTAAAGCAGAGGTCATTTTTGCACTGTAGACAGTTTCTATATTGACGGTGTCATTGGGGACAGGCCTTGATACCAAGTTGGAAAATTACGGACAGAGAGATAAAAAAGAGAACGGGGTTGAGGACAGAAACTAAACTAAAACTGTGAGACATCAGTAGCTCACCAGGTAGAGCACGTAGCAAATAGTCAGTCCTTACTGCAGCGGCTTGGGCTTGTCTTCCTCTCTCTACTGTCACTGTCCAATAAAATGCCACGCTAATGTTAAAGGTGCTTTGTGGAGTTTTCTTCAGTGTTTCTCACTACAACACATTGCGTGAATCCCTGAGGTCTGACAAATGTGTTTACATTAGTGTGGACTTACTTGCAACCTTCTTCTTTGCTGTGTTTTTAGCACAATGCTCCATTTCTCTGTGCATTACTGCCACCTGTAGATCATTGGAATAGTGTGAAGCCGTTGACAGGACTGTGTCTCACTCATGTAGGAGATAAAGAAAATAGGAGTACACAAATGACACTAAAAATTAAAAAGTAAATTCAAGTTCAAGAGAATTACCACAATAAAATAGGCTCTTATGTTATATATAATTATTATTAAGCTGTGTTTGCAGTGTCATATTTTTCCTCATGGACCAGTAGCAAATATTCCATGGCCCTGTATTGAACCACGACCCAGGATTTGGGAACCACTGGTCTAAAATATGGAACTAAGCCTGGGCCAAACCACACAAACCAGCCCCAAACCAAAAGCATGGCGACATCGGTGTCCATATACTTTTGGCCATATAGTGTAATATTCTGCTCTATGGTGACATCTAGTGGTTGATGCAGACCTCGTGTGTGTGTGTGTGTGTGTGTTACAGGTGGAGGTGATCGAGGGCTGTCTGCAGTGCCCTGAATCAGGACGAGAGTTCCCGATCTCCAGAGGAATCCCCAACATGCTGCTGAACGAAGACGAGGTGTAGACGACACCAAACACAACCTCACCCCAAACTGTCACTCAGATTGGACTGTGGGAGAGAGAGAGGGAGGCTGGACTTTAAGTTGGTGCCATGAGAGAATTGGCCACACTGTTTGGTTGATTGTAGTTATGACATTTAAGTGGCCGATGCTGCCAGTGGAAGAAAAAGATCTGAAGAATAATAGATGGAAATGTTCCCCGAGAGGAACCCCCAGTGGTTTTATCTGTATTTATTTTTGTAACTGTTTGGGTTTTTTCGTTTTTGTTTTTCAATAAAACTGCCCTGATTTCCACGACAGCCAAAATAGTTTTTAGGTTTTTGTGGAAAATATGAATTCATTTATATTACAGACATGCTAAAAAAAATATAAACCCCAGAGGCTCCAAGAGTGAGAGGCAGCCTCTGAACCCCATCTCGCCCTCTCTCAGGGTTTAAGAAAGTGCTGAGGGCCAGATGACGTGGCAGTGGCTTGTCTATATTTGGCTTTGAGGAAAAGAAGCAGAAAAAAAGCAGGCAGGCTAGAAGTTGTTTTTGAGGAAGTCTTTTTTTTTTTTTTTCCTTTCATGCCACACATTACAACACATATACATACACACACACACACAAGAGAGAGACCCCACCTGGGCAGGTGGCTGTGAGCAGAGATACCCCACGTTGTGTCTGATCGTTGTAGGGTTGCTGAAAGAAGAAGTTGAGGTCCAAACAGACAAATAAGTTTCTTTCCATTCGTTTCTGGTGCAGCAGCAGTCAAGTTGGAACAGGAGCCTGTCTGTTCGCAGGCGGTGTTATCATTTTTAGAAACCTTGCCAGGACAGACGATGAAGAGGGGGGTTTGCCCTGACCAGAAGCCTCGAGGCAGCCTCAGTCTCTCCTACCTTTCCCTTCTACTTACAGCAATTACAGGCCTGTACCCGCAACTATAATAACGGTATAATGGGATGGCAGCAGAGCAGCAATAAAAGCCACCCCTGACAGATTAACAGTCCTCTCCAAGTTCTGAGCTGTAATTAACAATGAGACCGAAGAGGAACAGAGAGGAAAGAAAGGGCCTAGATTGAAAGCTAGAAAAGATAAAGATAAAAAGGGATGGGCTTTGGAGTGATTTAATTAAATTAGGATAAGCCTTAAGCTATGGGCACAAAGGAGCTAAAGCTGAAAATGACTCTAACTAAGGCTGCATTTAGAAATCAACCTATTTCTCAATCATCCATTTTATAATTTTAATATTTAAAGATTAAGTTTGACATTTTGGGAAATGATGCTTTTTGGTTTTCTTGCGCAGATGCTTACAACTCTCATCTATTAGCTTAGCAAAGAGACTGGAAACGAGGAGAAACAGCTAGCCTGGCTAAGAAAGAGGTAACAATATCCACCTACCATCACCTCTAACGCTCATTAATTATTATACCGTATTTGTTTTTATTTGTACCAAAACCAAAGTGTAAAAAAATGTTTTATGGACAAATATGTGTCGGACTCTTCCTAACCTGGGACAAGTAACTTCTTCTCTCAACCGTTGTCCTGGCAACAGCTCATAGCCAATGTACTGTCTGTTTTGTTTTTTTGTTTGCATTAAACAAACAACATATAACCTGTTGATTAATGAGCTTTAGATTGATAACTATTCCTTTAAGGCTGATGGTGCTCAGGGGGATGTTTACCTGCAGGGAGAGGGTGGTGCAAGCATTTTTGTGGAGGGAAGAAATTGCAAAGTGTGTGTGTGTGTGTGTGTCTGGTGAGAGGAAGATGGCTCTTGCCTACATAATCACACACTCCCTTCACTTTGGTGGCAGCCCGCACCACCACCATCTCTCTCTCGCATCCAGTCCCTCCCTCCCTCCCTCCCTCCAGCTCTTTCTGTCTGAGGCTCTGTGCTTCTTTCACAGAGGATCTGCACAATAATGGAGTCACATCGTGCAGCAGGTCTCAGTGTTTGCAGCAGAGCTTTCAGGCCAGCAGACATCAGGCTGAGAGCTCATTTAAACTGAGGATCTGTAATTTACTGTAACGCTTCCTCTCTTCTTTCTTTTTTTTTTATAAATTCACAGCACAAGGACTTCTTTCATATATTTTCTGCGTCATGTCTTTTTATGTCGTCTGAGTTTTTCCGTGTTTTGATGTTTATGTGAGGGGGATTAACGGGCCCACCATGGTTTTTCCAACATAAATCAATTTTTTTCCCCTAAGTTTCAGTGCAGACTGCTTTCTGTTTACCTATAACAGGGAATGGGAGGATCTCATTGGGTATATTTTTTTTAAAGCTGTAACTAGATTTTGTGGAAGTGGTTATGGGCCAGTTTTTCGCTCCACAGATGGGTGTTTGGGAGGTGAAAGCACGGGAACCATGCAGCTCCAGATGAAGTGAACAGCTCAGGTTTTTGTTTGGAGGATTTGCGACATGGGCTGAGCTCCAGTGATGACTCTTTTCTCCTAAAAAGCGATTGAATTGTACGAGGATGGACGACGGAAAACGGAGACGGATAAAACTTCAACTTATCGGTTAGACTGTAATTAAATATCTTCACACGCGGAAAGCGCGCACTCACCGGCACGGGACAACACCGGAGCCCCCGAGCGCACCAGACTGGGATTAAAGTCTCACTAAATTTCAGTTTTTTTTACAGTGGAGTTTGGTTGTAGTGATACATCAGTTCGGCGTGTAGAAGCAGTTTTCCTAGTACTGATTTTTCTCCTAAAAGTTGCTGCTTTTAGATTTAATAAGTTAAATTGAGACTCTAGAGAATAAAGGAGAATGTGTCTTTATGTGTGTGGTGTTAAAATATGGAGGCGCATGTATGAACAATGTTATAAAATCACCTTAGAATAAACCTTAAGTCAGCAGATGTGGATTTTCTTTGCCACAGAAAGTGGTTTTGACCAAAATAGCCTGCTAGAACTGGATATTGGATCTTTTGGGCTTTTGTATATCACTCGAGAAGGTTTTGGAGACATCGGTTTTACATTTTAAACCACTTTACGCACATATTTCTTCACCCGAGGTTTAGAGACTCCGCTGTAGCTACGGTGACCTCAGGGAGTATCTCAGTCCCTCCGTCTCCTCACCGGACAATGTGGCTCCCCCGCCTCGCGCTGCTCCTGCTGCTGCTCCGGTTCTCCGGTGTGTTGCTGGTGGAGGGGATCAACACGTGCCAGTCCATCAACCTGGACAAGCAGAAGTCCCGCCGCATCGAGGCGGTCCGCGGGCAGATCCTCAGCAAGCTCCGCATTCGCAGCCCGCCGGACGAGGACGAGGACCCGCCGGCTGGCTCGGTGCCCCCGGAGGTCATACTGCTCTACAACAGCACGCGGGAGCTGCTGAAGGAGCGCGCGCGTCTGGCCGAGTCCGCGTGCGAGCGCGAGAGCAGCGAGGAGGACTATTACGCCAAAGAGGTGCAGAGGATCGACATGCTGCCCCCCCGCACACACACAAGTGAGTCCACTAGGATGTGTGACAGAGTTTTATTTTCATTTGTGAAATAAAAAGTGTCCAATAAAATAATCAGAGTGTAAAAAACACTTTAAATACAGAACTATTAACTAACAGAACTGGTCCATTCCCTGTGGTTAAAGTCTATCTGGTCCAAGTCACTCAGACTACTTTGTATCTGGGTTATTCAGTCTGTGACAATGCTCTATATTTTATAAATGTTTCATCTGTAAAACAAATAAGTTCCTCAAGCTGTCAGATACAGTAAATGTGGTAAAAACTACTATTACTACTATTTCCACCGAAAATGTACCACAACCTTAGAACACAAATTATAAATAATAAAAATAACTTGTCATTGCCTTTCGAATTCCCTCTACTAAAACAGAAGTTTGGGGAAATAAGGTGGAGAGAAAGTCAAGTTATCAGGAGTTACTCTTCTGTAGATGAACCCTTGAGCAAGGCACTGAGCCCTCAGATGCATTCAGAGCAGCTGTGTGGAGGCAAACTTCCAGCTGTGGTCAGTCACAGGCAGCTCTCACAGAAACAACACTTGATGTTGAGGGACCTTATTTGTGAGATTTTAAGATTAACGGCGCTGGATAGTACATGGTACATAATTATATAACTGTCTAGTTGGGAGGTGGTGTTTCATACAGCATGAACGCAACAATTACCCATATATTAAACATAAGACCAGACACATTTACTCACTAAGCCCAAACCTATAATTTAGTTTCGAGACACTCATCAGCAGTAATTATGTCCGAGACAATGCATCACAGCACTGTTTTAACCGAAAGTATAAATAAAGCATTGTCAAAGACGGCATGAGATGTTGTTGGATCATTAGTCATCTTTTTACGCTCTGTTGGTTCATCCAGATGCGGTACAGCCGGCAGCCCCCAACCCCCACTACAGAGTCGTCCACTTTGATGTCAGTGGAGTGGACCTGACCAACAGCACCCTGGTCAAGGCTGAGTTCAGGATCTTCAGAGCTCCCAACCCGCAGGCCCGGGCCTCAGAGCAGAGAGTGGAGATCTATCAGGTAAACAACAGCAGGACAGTTCATCTCCGACTGCAGCAGAACCACCAAACTAACTTGTAGTTAGAAATATCAGCGAGAGACGACTGCATTGATTTGTCTTTTTTAGCTTTTACATCCAAATACACAAAACGTTGATTCTTTAAAGTCACTTCAGGTCCCAGTTATTATAAAAGAGTTGTTCAACATCAATTCAAATCTTATTCACTTGTTTCTTCTCTTTGCAAAATAACGTTCAAATGTGTAAGATGTGCCCAGAAATACCTTTTTATTTTTTAACTTGCCTTTAATCGATAGAGTCAGCTGAGAGAAAGAGGGGACAACACACAAATTAGGGCTCTTTCCTGGCACATGTGGCATCAGCTCCACCAGGGCGCCCCAAGGATTACAATTTTTTCATTTATTATGACACTAAATCTGCACCAATTAAAGTATATTTAGATTTTGGCTTGCAGGAGACATTTTAACCCTCTTATAGAAAAATGTTCATCCTCGGGGTAGAACTCACACGCCTGGTGATGAAAAGTGCTCTATGCCGTTCATGTGTTATGTAAAAAATAAGGAAGATGTGGGTCGTTACTGCTGCAGCCATGGGTTCGACTCTGATTTGTGGCCCTTTGCTTTGTGTCCTCCCTCTCTCTCTCCCTTTCCTGTCTATCTTCAGCTGTCACTACTGAAAAAAGGCAATAAAAGCCCCAAAAATATAATACAAAAAGAAAAGAAAGAAGATGAACTCACTAACATTTACTGACTATCCTGACAGTTTCTGATAGACTTTGTATCTGTACATGAACTCCATCACTGTCCTGTGTGGTTCTGTGTGTTAGCTGCTGAAACCAGATGAGGAGAGCACCTCCACTCAGCGTTACATTGACTCCCGCACCGTTCAACCCAAAGCGAAGGGAGCCTGGATCTCCTTGGAAGTCACCGAAACCATTAAGGAGTGGGTGTCAGATCCAGGTCAGCCTCAGTAGCAGCAAGTCATTTACAGTGTTTGTGAACTTCGTCTTCATCAGTCGATCTCAATGTTTGTCCTTCTGTGTTCTCTTCCACCGATCAGAGAATAATCTTGGCCTGAAGCTGGGCGTCCACTGTCCCTGCTGCACCTTCGTCCCTTCCACCAACAACATTGTTCCCAACAAGAGTGAGGAGCTGGAGGCTCTCTTTGCAGGTTTGCTGCAGTTTTTTGTGTTTACATCATGTTAGACAAGTCCTGGTACTGATCAACCCACAGTGACACTAAATCTTGTAACTGTATTTATATTTTGACCAACATACCTTTTACAGACAAATGCAGAGTATAACCTCCTGTTTCATTTCCTGTTGTATGTAGAGGAGGATCTCAGAGAAAGAGACATTAGATTCAGCCTGAATACGATGATTTTAGACTTTCCTGAGAGCTGCAGTGGGTTACTGTCGATGTTGGTTGTCAGCGTGTAACATTAATTGTATTGGGGGCTACATGTGAAAATTACCCTCAGTTTTCTCCTGGTGATCATAGAGAGCAAACCTCTAACAGGTTGGCTGTAAATGTCTTTAGAAGGGCTTTAAAAGCACTTGTGAAAGATTTATCAGCACAGCGGTAATCCCACAGGTCACAAAATGTGAACATAAAGTGGAGACTCTTCTGTAAGGCGCCTCTAAAAATGATTGATGAATCACTTGCTCACTATCCTACGGGAGTAATGGAGACACTGTTCTTCCACACTGTGAAACTACTGAATGTGAGACTGTCTGTGTGGCTTCATTTAGGCCCTAAATTATGGCACTTTCCTCAGGATTTACACTCAGCTGAGCCAAGTTTTATGTTTTTACGTCTTGGAAAAAAATTTCAACTTTTGATACTGATGTAAGACAAGCAGGGGCTTGTTTGGGGCTCCTGTCAGTCGCTAAGACCCAGAAAAACCACGAAGTAAGATGTAGTCAGGCTGTCGTTCCTGGTCTAGGAAGCTACTGAATCATGTATGTATTTCTTTCTATATGCTGTAAATTATATATACTGTCAATGGATGTAATATCATTCCAGCAACAACCAAAAATGGTTAGGTATTGCAAAAATAGTTGCGATCTTTTGTTGTATAATTCAAAGGGTTAATGTGAGACTTTTACGTCGCACATTTCTGCATCTTCACAACTAGAAAGCAGATTTATGACCTTGTTTTTCTGTTTTCTGGAAACAGTGACAAACCTCTCAGCATGAGGGAGACAACCAAATTATATAAATAGAAGTCATCTGTGATTGATCAGTTATAAACAGTTGCTCCTGTCAAAACAAAAACTTCTGAAAAGTCAGACAAATCTAAAAAAAAGTAACTCTGCTCTAGTAAAACACTCTGGTCCATATCGACCTCCAACCTGACTTCAGTGTACAGACACTTTAAGACGAGTGTGATGTTTTCCCTTAAATGAGCTTTAAATTTGTGGCTGCTGGCTAAAACTGGTTACAATTTGGAGTATAACAAGTAACCTTACCAAGAAGTCTCAGGATTATGAAGGTAAATGTGAGACTTTAATGTCTGCATCTTCACAGCCAGGTGACGTATGGCTCGATGTTTTGTTTAGGAAACTACAACGATTGAACACAATTGGAAGGTCGCACAGAATTCACAGGGATCACAACATCGCAACTTCCTGGAGGGACTGATAGATCTTGAGCTGTGAGCAGCTCCACTAATGAGTAATGTTCCCTTTTTACAAGCGAGTAAAGGAGGAAAATGATCCAGTATTTCAAAATAAAAAAGCAAAGATTTCTCCTTAATCATTGTGTGACCCTTCAGGTTTATCCTGCGACCCGTTTGCGCGCCCCGACCCCCACCTTGAGAACCACTGTATTAACTCTCTACTGTCCGTAGGTGTGGACGATGAGAGGCTTCGTCAGATGAGAAAGCCCGGGCAGGTTAAAGGCCAGGCAGATTTCAGCACCAAGACGCCACACCTCATCCTCACCGTGCTGCCCAGCGACCGAGTGGACAACCCAGCAAAGAAGAACCGCAAGAAGAGGGCGGCCGCCACAGACACCACAACCTGCTCCCGGTAGGCCACCAACCAGCCGCATGTGTGTGTGTTTATGTGACTGACTTACAGCGCTGACTTTCTTCCAGGATTTGTAGTTTTTATTATTCTGAAATCTAGTTGTGGTGGGCAGTGGATTTCATTTTTTCCCCTCCTGACCCACAACTCACTTTGCAGACTATTGTGAGGGAAAAACTAACAATATTGACCCTGTGTTTAGACTGCAGGCCAACAGGCGTGTAGTGTTTTATTTAGACTACCTCACGCTGCAGGGGAAAACTCTGACAGCCTCACATAGTCATTACCTTGTGATGGCTGGTTCTTCAATGGTGACCCATTGTCATTTTCCCATGACCCAACTTTGTTACCTTGCCCCAGACCTTGAACAGCAGAATGAGAGTTAAAATATTTCTGTGTGTATGTTGTGTCTCAGCGGCTCGGAGCAGGGCTGCTGCCTGCGCTCGCTCTACATCGACTTCAGGCGTGACCTCAACTGGAAATGGATCCATGAGCCCAAAGGTTACAAAGCCAACTTCTGTGCCGGCAACTGTCCGTACATCTGGAGTGCCAACAACCACTATAACATGGTGAGTTGGGCTATTTCTGGAAGATGACATATCAGCTGGGTATTGATACTTTATTGGTAAATGTGTCCGTTGTAGTATTCAAAACTGTGAAATATCCACTCAGACTTATAAAGTTTTTAACCCTTTCTAGTAAAGTTAAGCAAAGAATAATAATTGTATTTTGTTGTAATCTTCAGATTTCTGACCTTGTTTTTATTTTGGTTTAATAATTTGAACAGAGACATTGACAGACCTCTCAACGTGAGAAACCTGCCAAATTATATATAAATAGAAGGCGTCTGCGATTGATCTGTCATAAACAGCTGCTGTCCAAACAAAAAAACTACTTCTGTCAGTAACTCCTCTCCAGTAAAACTCTCTGGTCTGGTCTAAATCAACCTCCAACCTGACTTCAATGTACAGAAACTTTAAAAAGCGGTGTGATTTTTGCTCTTAAATGAGCTTTAAGTGCATTGTTTGTGGCTGCTAAACACATAGTTAGCTAAAATTGGTTAACCCCAGCATCATAAATGGGCTGTCACCTCGCAGAGGCCTGTAACAGAATATATAGGCTTACGCAACTCGGCCTGTTTGTCTCTTAGTTTGTCAAAGACACACAACTCTTACAAAACCTTCTCATTCCTCTTCATTCATGTCCTTCATTGTATTATAGATGTGTATTTATTTGACACTGTAGATTGCTGCAATGACACATTTGTTCTGCTGTCAGCACTGTGACTTTATACGATTGGTTTGCTCTGTTCCTTAATTTGATGGAGTTGGGCAGTTGTTGTTCTACATGTAAAAGTATAAATAAGGAAACACAGTGACAGCAGCAAGTTCAGAATTATTATTTATTATTACTTGTTAAGAGTTTAACTCTAAAAATAATCTGAAGCTGGTTTGCTTTCTTGTCAAGAGTTTGATGAGGAGACCAGTTAGCCTGAAGTCTGGTCGTCAAGGTGGGGAGACAGCAGAGAGTTACTGCACATAACCCCCATAAAAACACAACATATTGTGTTTATACTTTGGTTTCAAGTAAACAAACAAGATATAAATGGTAATTAATGAGCTTTAAAGGTGCTTTTGTCGCCTTTGGACAGATCCAGGTTACCTGTTTCCCCTGTTTCCAGTCATTATGCTAAGCTAAGGTAACAGGTTTGATCAAATTATCTAGAAACTGACCGAGAACTTTATTTCTTCTCCCTGGTCAGATCCTGCCCCTGTACAACAAGCTGAACCCTGAGGCCTCCGCCTCGCCCTGCTGCGTTCCTCAGGACCTGGAGCCCCTCACCATTATGTACTTCATAGGCCGCACACCACGTGTTGAGCAACTCTCCAACATGGTGGTCAAGTCCTGCAAGTGCCGCTGAGTTCGGAGGAAGAAGAGGTGAATGATAACAGGACCAGAACTACAAACTGGCTTTGTTCGGGGGGAAAATAAAGACGAGAGGACAGAAGGATCCTTCGTTCATTAATCTTCGCTGTTTGATCACCTTTAGCAGACTTTTGAGATGTTTTATTTTTACGCTTCCTGATTCAAATATCAGGATTTTTCTCCCAATCTTTACAGGCATGAAAACTTCATTCTTCTTGATTCTCTGGAACTTTCCATTTCATATAGGACAGTGTAAATATGACAACGTAGCTGTATTAAACCTGTACTTGGATATTAAACGGGGTGTTGTGTGATTTGGCCACATTTGGTTTGCATAAAAAAAGACTATTTTTTATCAGGATTTCAATCCCACCTCAGTCGTATTCCTGTGGCCACGGGCAGAGCGGAGCGAGCGAGACATGTGCTTGTTTGCTTTAGGTTTGAAGGTGTTGATAGGAAGGAGGGCGGTGTGGAAAAAGGTTTTCAGACTGTGATCTTTAGGGCGAAGGAGGCAGGGAGCAGATAGAAAAGAGAGAGAGGAGCTGTGTCCAGGCAGAGGGCCCTGCCAGCTCTCTGCGGTCCCGGGCTGAAATCTGCCCGGCGTAAACAGGATGTGAAAGATTTCCAGACACCGACCCGACCACTCACGGAACGCTAGATTTAAATGCTCCCCTCATCTCCTCTGTCTCTCTCTCTCTGTTGCTAGAGTTTCTGGGATTTGTGGTGGGAGGAGAGAGAGAGAGAGAGAGAGGGAGGGAGGGAGAAAGACAGAAAAGAGAGGCTTTGAAAATGAGACGTGGGATGATAGGGCTGTATTTGGAACGGCTACAAGTTTGGAAGGTGGTATTTTGCAGCCTTAGCAAATTTGTAACTATTTGGGTCTGGCTCAAACGTTTAGTAATCACACTCTGAATGTGCATTTATTATCTTATTGTAAAAAAACCTGTTGACTCATTGCTATTCCTAGACTATAATTATATTGTGTCATACCTATGTTTTACCATCAGTCTCACTGATACACGCACACACACGCACACACACACACACACACACACACACACAGTCTCTCTTTTCACCCAAGTATCCACACTGACCACTTTTGATAGAATGTCTAAATGCTGAAAATAAAAAACATCCCCAGGGCTCATTTTAAATATAGGCTCTCTGGTATGCCAGTGGTTTGTGTGTGTGTGTGTGTGTGTGTGTGTGTGTGTGTGTGTGTGTGTGTGTGTGTGGTAGGGAGAGAAACAGAGAGCGACTGGGTGTGTTTTGTGTGTGTGTGTGTGGCTGGTGAGGTCATGCGTGATAGCTCAGAAATGAATTTTGTGTGATTTTATTGTGGTTATTGTGACGGGATTTTCACTCGGTTACTCTGCTGAAAGTGAGATGTTGCTTCATTTTTTGGGCTCTGTGTGTGTGTGTGTGTGTGTGTGTGTGTGTGTGTGTGTGTGTGTGTGTGTGTGTGTGTGTGTGTGTGTGTGCGTGTGTGTGTTTGTTTGTTTGTTTTGAAAATCTGGTTGACAATAAAGTTTTAGTTGAATAGGAAGCAGCCCAGCCTGACAACAACATCCAGTCATGGATGTATTAACAGAGACTGGGGTTTTCATGCATTCACTGGAATTACAGCAGCAGGAAATACTTGTTTCTGATTGGCTGATATGAGAGTGGGAGGTTTACATCTTTTCTTTCAACAATATCCTCCATATTGCTCAATATAGAAACATGTTGGTCGATCATAGAGGATTATGTTAAGACCACCAGTTCCAATTATTTCAACTCTGTCATTTTAGCACGTTGGACGGCTCTTAATACTACAATACCCATGAGCCTCAGCCTCACTTATAATATCACAGTTATAGACCTCCGCCCCGTATATACACACCTGTCGTTATTTCTGGGACTACTTTAGGGATTTACTATTCATCTCAACCAACTGTTTTTAAGGTGAGTTATGTGTTTCTTAAAGGGCCGGTTCACAAAAACAAACCTAATCCAAACAGTTGGACTGTTGATGATTATTATTCAATGCTTTGTGCACCACAGACAGAATTCAATTAACCTTCATTACATTCGGTTAGAGGCAGAAATCTTATAAATGTTATTCATTAAACCCAAAACGCTCTGCATGGCTGGATGCCCCCACAGGTACTTGATGTTTTTGTTGAACTGAACCTTTAATGTCCTTCAGAATTCAGCAGCCGGAAATCTGTCTGTCTTTACTGAAGAGGTTTTTATCCGAGCTGTTAAAATAGCTTAAAGAGATACAAACTGTTCTCCAGCCATTGCCGTAAAATTGTTTTTTCTAAGCCACAGTGAGAATGCAGCCTCACTATGTGTGTGTGTGTGTGTGTGTGTGTGTGTGTGTTTGTTGGGGTGCTAGTGCTCGAGCTGTGGTGAGGCTCCCTCCCCCCTGAGTAAACTAGCCCCAGCATCTGTTAGTCTTTTCCACTTAACTACCCCTTGCTATATCCAACCTGTACTTATCCCACGGTAGAGCGCCTTGCTCTGTCTCACACTGGGTCCCACTGTCCTTGGAGAGGGGAAGTCTGCTGTGGATATCGACCCCCTCTCTCTCTCTCTCACACACACACACACACACACACACACACACACACACACTTCACAAACCATGTCTGTGCATTTGACCTTGAGAGGGAGTGTACACATAGACCCTGAAGGCATCTATAGCACACCCATACATACATATATACATACATCTGGCTTGTGTAGCCCCCTTATAGCAAAATATGATTCATGGCTCTGGTTCCTCTCACACACACACACACACACTACACACTACACACTACACACTACACACAAACACACACACACACACACACACACACACACACACACACACACACACACACACACACACACACACACACACACACACACACACACACACACACACACACACACACACATACTGACCGAAAGAGAAAGAGAGCCTTTGATAACAGTTGTAAAATGTTTTTGAGGATGACATAAAACAATTACACCTTATGGTCTGCATCAAATATAACCCGCATTACAGGTTTGGACAAGACTTTATTCGTCACAACTAGACTGAAATTGTTCCTATTTATTTCTGGCAGTTAAGTTAAAATACAGCTCTCAGGGCAACAGGACTCCATAAACACAAAATAAAAAAGTTATACAAGCAGCAGAGCGGTAATGAGACACAGGCGTAAACAGAAGATCCCGATCTGTGGCCTCAGCATTATTGAAGCCATATTCTTTGAGCAGTCAAACTTGGAGGCCAGAGCTGTACTTGAGGCCCTGTTGGGACAAAACAGCTGGGAGGCCAAACCCACAGAGGCCCGCTGTTCTCTGTTTAAACAGATGAGGGCGACATTTCTGACTCTTCTCTTCCTGGTACAGAATTACATTGAGTTAACAGTTCAATCTGTATTGAGTTGAACTTCCTGAAGTGATATCAAACACCTCTATAATGTAACAGCCCCTCTTGTAAAGTGTGACACAGTTAGCTTAACAATAAAGAAGCATTGTTTTTAAAAGTAAATTAATAAATGTTTATTTTAAATGTTAAATCTAAAATCCTATCGTAAATGTAAATCTTACATTGTATATTCCTACAAGAAGAGAACCAGTTTAGATCTATTCATTTAACACTTGATGTTTGAACTCGTCAGTGTGGACGATGTGATTATCTAAAGTTAACAATTTTGTTTGTCGTTTTTACTGGAAACCATACAAATGAATTGGTAAAAAAAAAAAAAAAATAGATTTTTAAGAGTGAAGCACAAAGACTGAGTTGACCGTTCACAAATTAAACATTAAAGTTAAATTACTTTAGACCTTTATCAGACAACTTTCTGCATTTCTTTTCTTTATTCTGCTATTTGGTGCAGTTTAGTTTAAATTATGTAGATTGTATTGTAATATTATGATTGATTCATTTTTATTTGGTTTAGTATGCGTGTTATTTTTACTGTTTAACAGATATGTGTCTTGTGGCCCAATGGTATGACACATTATAAAAACTAACACAGATTTAGAGTATGACATTTAGATTAAAGGTTTAGATTGAAGACTGAGATGAAGATAGCAAATTTATTCAAATTAGCATTCAGTAACTACAGAAGCCTTGAAAGGCAAAGGAATGTTTTTTCTCAGTTTCTTTTTATTTTTTCATTTGTGAAAAAAGGTGAACATTTTTTTTTCAAGATAATTTTTCTAAGTATAATTTCTTTTTACCTGTGAAAACTAAAAGTATATTTCACTTGCCTTTATAGAATCAGTTATTAGACAGGCATTTAATGATGCTTTAAAACAGTTAATAGATATTAAAAGTTTGCAAATCTCACTCTGAATCTTATAAATGTGCCACAACAGACTGTTAATTTGAGCCTGTTACACGTTATAAACAGCGCTTCATATCGAGGTCTGAAACACGAGTGTATGAATTTAAGGCCACATATTTAGTCTGAAACTGATGAAGACTTGAGTCATCAGAGAGGCACAATTCAAATATCTTCTCCACCTTCTTTTTTTATTGTATATAAAAAATAATGTAGAAAAACATCCTTCTCAAAGTTCAGGAGTCAGACTCAGATGACGATATGGCTGTTGGGTCGTGGTCAGCACGGCAGTAAAGTGCCATGTGAATATCTTCCTCCTTCCAACCCTCTGTCAACAAATGACAAAATATGTGGGAGCCTGAATTTGAGTGTGGATTCAGTCAGTTACTTATTTTGGCCATGGTGGAGGGCATAATGCCACCATAGCCATCTAGTCATAGTTCCTGATTCTGAGTAAGCAGGAACTTACTGTTTATCCCACATCCACCAAGAGCTGAGTTCATTCAGGACTCTCAGGGTTCAGGATCCAGGTCATGACGCATCTCATGCTCTCCAGTGGACGGACGCTTGGAAACAACACATGTCCCAGTTTTATACTCTATGTAATTTATATTAATATATTTCTGAATAATGATTGTTGCAGTTATAATAGGAGACTTTTAACCATACTGTATACTTTAAGGAAATTATACATCAAACTGATTTTAAACATTACAAAGAGAAACCAAAAGATCTTTGTAGAGATTCTGTGTTTCTTTCTTTGGAGCTGTCGATCATAACTTTAACTTTCTAGGGCAGGTGTACATTAACAGCACACTCAAACATCAACTGTTTTATAGTAAGAATACTAACAGTTCATTCTGCCACTTTTCCACTGTGAACACACTTAAAAACAGCTCAATAAGTAGTGAAACTGGGACACAGGTCTGGTTTTATATCAGTACCTAGGCTTTCTACAGTTTAAATGTGTGTGGAGTCCGTGGTGTTTTCTTGTAAACAACGTTTCTGTTTACTTTCACTGTTACTCACCAAAACACAATGTGTCAATCCTCAAGTTCTAACAAACATGTTTTTTTTCTTAAAAGTTCAAAAACTGCAATGTTTACATGTTTACAAGCTTGCCTTCTTTGTCTCCCACCGCCTTTGTTGGCACATTAGTGTGTTTCCTGGCGGCGTCCCACAAACATTGCTCCATTGATGGTCAAAAACTCTGCATATATAAAATAAATCACAAAGGCATCCGCAGAGGTTCAGCCTTGTTCAGGTTAATGTAAAATAATATTGTGTGTATTAAAAAGGTCTGATAACCATCACTTTAATGTGTCACTTTAAGACATTATGAGGAATCTAACAGGGTTCAACCGAGGACAAATAGTACTTGAAAGGTGTGTACACAAGCTAAGATAACTTGCAGTTATTTATTTGGCAAAGGGGCAGAGTTTTTAAAAATAATAAAAACACTAACAAACAGTGGTCACAAGCAGAATCTTGCCAACAGTGACTTAAGGACACTTGATAGTATAGTTGGTAAACACCACAAACTTAATAATAACCTCAGCGTTGCTTTAATAGCCCTCTGACCACTTACATTCAAGGCAGGCATACAAAGATGCTTATCGGGGTGTAAGGAGCACACAAGTTTTAACACAAAGCAGTGGACAGCAACTCGGTCTGACCTTTACCCTTTTTAACCCTTTAAGACATTGAAGAGCAGTAGCCACCTGCTTCATCCCTCACACAACTGGACAGTTTCAGTTTTCCATTGTCAGGACGACGGCACTACACAGACTGACACTGCTCTGAGGGTGAATGATGGCCCTGTCGTGCTTTGATACTATTGTACTGTTGTTGTGGTTCCGGTTCTCCACCCACTGCTGGGTTTTCCCCAGAGAGTTTTTTTTTTTTTTTTAGCCATCGTGGTTTGCCACCCAGATCAATTTTGTGACTAGATGACATCCTAAACAAGTCACACTTTTTAACTCCTCTTGCTTATGTGTTCTTTTTCCCTTTTAATGTCACAAAAGTATTAAATATATTTCTAGTCGAGCGTAGTGGCCCACCTCAGCTATAAAACACTGTGGGAAGCCCTGCACTGAATCAGTCAGTCACCAAAAGTTAGCCTCACAAAGCCGCTTAAATCTGAGATTCAGAGTTAAATACGTGTGCTGAGAATTGATTGAGCTCAGCGGCTGAAGGACAGATTAACAAAGTAGATAATTATGTGTAATGATGGATAATGATGTGACTCAGCCTCTTTAAACCACTGAAACTTATGACCAGCTGGTTACACCAGGTGTGGTCGACTTTAAAAGGAAGAGTGATTAAGGGGCCTTTTATCACTCTCGTTATTTCAAAATCTGTTTTTGATGGTCTACTGGATGGACTGCCAGGAAATAACCAATACCCATACTTGTGTAGTACCCAAATGTCTAGTTGTGTGATGCATTTTCCCATAATTGCCGCATTGCTCAAGTGTCTGTTAAGATCACAAGCTTGTGGAAGTTTATCAGAGCTGACTCTGCCTCGATTAACAAGGACATCCAGTCGCTCACAGAAAGGCTCAACTGAGCTCAGCCGTACAATCACATCAAAAACGCACATTAAGGAGCTGAAAGGAGTTAATAATATTAAATTAAATATAGTTATGCATGTACTGTAAAAAGGCTGTACATAAAATAGACTCTAGATGATTTCTGTGTCATTATATTTTTAATATATGTATTTCATACTCTCAGCTTTGAAAAGGTAAAGAGTGCAAAAAGTGTATGGTGTGTTTGTGTTTTTCTGATGTGGTACCTACAACCTGCTGGTGCGTGAGACTGCAAGTGTGGGTATTGGTACAGACCCGTAATAACTTTGATGACTTGTCTTCTTTTCAAGTGCAAACAAGATAAATATTATACCAGCTAAACATCAGATCAACAGATCACAAAGTAACAAAGTAAAATGTGTGTGCTGACTTTGTGAGGCTAAGCATAAACATGTTCAGAGTGGTAGGAACGTCAGGTCTGTTGTTAACTATTATGTTCTGTCACATCTTGACTTTGTGGCTGAGCTGAATCTGTCTGGTTCTCTGATGGGGGCAGGTCTGACAGGGAAGAGTCTGGAGGTGGTGTGGGAGGATTCGAAGGTGGCCGCATGTCACTGTTGGACCTCCTCACCTGCGTGGGGCTCCACCTGTATGACAGCTGCTTCCTCATGCTCCTCCTCTTCGGTTTTCGTGGTCGTCTCTTCCTCCCCTCGCTTGCTGCTGGCTGGGCGCGGTCACTTAGAGTGTCTGAGGACTCGTCGATGTATGCCAGGTTCTCTCCGAAGAAATCCAGCAGCTGGCAGCTGGCCGAGGACGCCATGTTGAGGGGAGGAGAGGGGAGGACGATTGATTGGCGAGAAGAAGGAATAAAAGGGGGACGAGTAGAGGAGTGAGGGACAAAAACAGGGGCAGGTGTGTGTTTGTGGCTATTGTTTGCTGCAGATTCATATTTCTCTGCTAGAATCAGCCTGTTTTTCTTTTGTGTTGTGTTCATTTCTGTGGCTCTCGCTCCTCCCTCCTCCATGCTGCTGACCGTACAACAGGGCTGGAACCTGTGGAGCGCCAAGAAGGACGAGGAGACCGAGGAGACGTCTGATCTGGAATCAAAAGGAGACTCAGATCCAGACATAGATCCTCCCTGCAAGGCTGCACCTGCTGAGTCCAGCTCTAAGGTGGAGCGGGCCACAGGGAGGGAGAATGAGCGGGCCAGCAGGTGAGGAAATGGCCTGCCCTCCACCTGCAGGCCCACAGTGGGGTCAACCCTCAATCCGGGCACCAGTCTTGGACCTGTTCCACCTCCAGCAGCACCGACTCGTGGTATGGACTTGGCCACCGCCGCCCTCTCAAGAGACGAATGGGCCTCCAGCTGGCTCATGGAGTTGGAGAGGCCGGCCCAGCGGTTCGGTAGGTGTCCATTCTCAGATGCTCCTCGAGCCCAGTGTCCCAGAGTGACCTGGGCTCCCCGGCGGATGCGACGACGCTCGCTGCGTTTCCAGCGCCGGCGCTGCAGGAGGAAGGGGTCGTTGAACTCCAGAGGGTTCGGGATGCGGAAGTCCATGGACATGTTCTGGATGTTCTGGGTCCAGTCTGTAGCATGGGCCCTCAACTCCTCCATCTGAGGGACAGAGAAACATAAGCAGAGGAAGAGAAAGGATGAGCCTCTAAATGAGATCCTCTCTTGGGGTAAATCCCTGGCTGTCTGTTACCAAATCTCTCACCTCAGCACGGGTCCTCTTAGACAGCACCCTCAGCCAGTTGCCGATCATGGTGAGGATGGAGGCAAAGTAAGCGAGACCAAACACGATCCACAACAACACCAGAGGCTTGAAGAACATGCCCTCACGACCGCCACCTGGACACAGAGAAAGTGGTCTTAAGAGGGATTCAATGGGACACAAAGAGATACAGTATACTACTTTGTGTAGCCCCTAACAGAGGACAGGGGTCTTGATACAGAACAGTCCTGCAGCAGGTACGGAGGAGAAACCTCAGCAAGGGAGAAGTTACAGACGAGGCTTTCACATACAGTAGGTGACCTGGATGAAGGACAATTCACCAGACCAGTAGCTCACCTTTTTTTGCTCAAATTATCAAAAAAAAACAGCTTCCAATGATCATTTTTTATTATCGATAAAATAAAATATTATTTATATTGACAATAAGCTGGATTTGTGCCCACAGCCTGCCCCAAGAACCCTGCACTGAGCAACGCAGCACACAACACATGAGCTTTGTTTGTAAATGAATACTGCTTTAAAGCTCATTGTGAGTTATTTAAAGATACCACAAAAGTCTAAACAAATTAACTGATTTATTTTTTCTTGTTTCCTACCTTGGTAACAATCCTGTGACTGTGTTTCTTGTCTATACTGTTTAAAATAAGACATGAGGTTGTTTGTGTGGGTCAGTACCTGGTACATAGTCTCCAAAGCCAACAGTAGTGAGAGTGATGACTACAAAGTAAAGCGACTCCAGAAACGACCAGTCCTCCACTTTCTGAAACACGACTGTCGGCACGGCGAGGAAAATAAGACAACCAATCAGGATGGAGAGAACCGCTGAGATCACGCGCACAGTAGTCGGCCTGACCTTACGTTTCTGAGAGAGAGAGAGAGAGAGAGAGAGAGAGAGAGAGAGAGAGAGAGAGAGAGAGAGAGAGAGACAAACCACAAATACAACGGCAGAATGAATAATAATAAATACTTAAGACTTAAACAATAGTTACACATTAAACTGGATTTAATAAAACAATTTTATACTCCTTTATATCCTGTTTAAGTTTGTTAAGCTATCTTTGTTTCCAGGTTTGGAGATCCCTGACGGACTACTTACAGGAACAATTCCAGACCACAGAATTTAATAAGTCCAATATGTCCTCTTCCTCAGCTCCCCCCTGCCATGGTACCCTTGAGCAAATCTTATGTATGTATGTATGTATGTATGTATGTATGTATGTATGTATGTATGTATGTATGTATGTATGTATGTATGTGCCCAAAGCCGCAGCTGCACAGTATGTGTCACCTCTCAGGATCTGATGTCTGCAGACAGTGCTGCTAACAGTCCTGCATTATCAGCAGACCTTCAGTGTAATATAGGTTTGAAATAAATTATCACTGGCAGAGACAGTTTCCTTTTTGTGACTTATGTGGAGGCAGCGTGTTCTTCTAGTTACTTAATTTAGCATTGCTGCATTATTCCTTCCTGTAAGCCAGTGGTTCCCAACCTTTTTCCTTAAGGGACCCTTTTCTATTATGAGTAAACAGATGACCCCTGACTACATGGCTACTAGATTATTTCCTGTGAATATTGATCAGACATGAGTTTTGCTGATATTTTTAGGAACCGTCTCTCTGTCGGTGTATTTTTTATTTTTAACAAATCATACAGACCTAACAGGCTTCTTTTCCGACAGATCCCGTGTTTCTCATTGTTCTATTAGCTCTTTGCTAAATAGCCTGATTCTACATTAGAAAAATGTTTGTATTCAGGTCTCCAAACTTTACATCTTAAATAATAATCTAAACTTTGAACATAACAATTTTATTTAGTTTTCTTCACAGAAACAAGATATAGACCTACAGTGTATTTTTTTTTTCTTACACACCTTGAAATCAAGACTGCTTTGTGCCCCCCTGTGAAGATTTGGCGACCCCTAGTGGGGGTCCCAACCCCCAGGTTGGGAACCACTGCTTTAAAACCGACTGGACAAACTGACAATGACAATCCCTTCTTTAATAACTACAGGAATATGCATAATGGTGACTCACACCAAGGCAGAAGGTTCTAGCTAAGTTCTTAACCAGAAAATCACACAGAACCCAAATATTCTCTGCTAAGACAACAGTAAAGAAAAGAGGTCTGGGCCTCGTAAATCCAACAGAAGATTGGTTCCTGGGCAGGACAGACCATTCTCACCAGGAAGAGGGTCTCAATCTTGGCCACAGCTCTCCGCAGCACTGTGCCCATGTGGTCACCCACTCCAGCAAGCAGTATGCCAAACATGGGGATTCCCATCAGGGCATAGCACACACAGAACAACTGGCCATACCACGTACGAGGAGACAGGTTCCCAAAACCTGTTACCAAATAAATAAAAGAACACAAGAACCTTCAGCTGTATAGAAATTAATATATATTGAAGTTTAAAGAAACTCCATCTGAGGTTATTTTAATTTTAAGGTCTTTTTATACAATATACAGGTCAGATTATATGAACATTTTCTGTATCAGCAACTTCCATTTACAATAGACCAAAGACCCATATCCGACACGTCTACTGGACCAACATAAGGTTTATTACATTCGACTTTAGGTGACTAGTATTAAAGACGAAAAAGAGAAATAAAGAGGAATGTAAAAATAAATGGTTCTACATTCATAATAATAATAATAATAATAATAAGCTACATATTTATATACATATGACTTAATGAAATTGTCCTTCAAACAAAACAAAGAAGTTATAGATCTGATGTATTGGACATTCATGTGAGACCAGAATATATTTAAAAAAGATTTTCTGGTTTTCACGTTTGCTCTTCAGTGAAATCAATTAGTATTGCTATGGATCAAGAGTCTCCTGCACTCAACAGTCAAACAAGTAAAATGTTTTCACAGATTAGAGTTGAGGTTGAGAAGATGCTGAAATTATTACGTTTGTTCTCCTATTAATCATTTCCACATTGGGCATATAATCTTTCCAACAGACGTCTTCACTTAAGAGGGCTTTTATTGACGTAAGATCTTCACAGTGCAGCCTGAAGGTGAGTCTCCACCTACCTATGGTGGTAATGATGGTGCCACAGAAGAAGAAGGCGGAGGCAAGGTCCCAGCGGCTGGTGAAGTTGGCAGGAAGGCTGCGCACATCCAGGCCTGCTTCCACCGCAGACGCCACTCCCTGAAGGGAAGGGATGTAATTTATTTAACTGTGAATTAAACCTTCAACACAAATCGGTAAACAATAGGATGCAAGGCAGGTTATTTATTTTACAACAAGAAAATAAAATATGGTGGTATATGATTTCATAAAAAGAAACCAGTGTCTGGTATTTATCTAGTGTTGTAGTCGCAGATTGCCACTTCACCTCCTTTTCATGGAGAAACTATGGTGGCCGTGAACCTTGCAAAAGACCTTCGGGGAGGAACTGTGTGTTTCAGTCTGGCAGATTGATTGTAACACTGGTTCAGCCCGAGGTGAAGCTGAAGCCTGAAGACTAGCCTGGCCAGGAGCAGATTAGTCTGGAGGGATAGGTTTCCATGGTAACTTATGTCAGACTTATTTAAATCCCCTTTATGAAACAGAATTTCCTGAAAATAAACCTGACTCACTAAAATAATCCTGGTTTAACATCTTGCTTTATGAAACACCCCTCTGCTATACTTGGTGCAATGTCAATGAAATGTATTAACTCACTGGTACATCAAGCTGTTTTAATTGCAGTGTATCTAACGTAGCCAACAATATTTGGCATACTGAGAGAACTGCAATCCCCCCAAACCCTGACCCCACAGCTGGAGTTTACACTGCAAATATCTGTATATAACGGAGAGTGTCAGTGTTTGAGGAGTATGGGAAGGCGAGCCTCAGTACTGTCTAAAGAACTTTTATGTAACACTAAATGTGGATTTGTCACTATTATTTCTGTCTTAGTTCTATTTGTCAGATAATCATGCTTTAGTTTTAGAGCTACAGTTCCCATTATGTTTTCAGGGAATTTAAATGTTGCCATAGATTGGGTCTGTGAAGTATAGTTTTTTACTTGAGTTGCACAATTCACCTCACACAGTATTTTTGCCTCACGTCTCTCCCTCAACACCTCCCCTTAAACACTTCCCCGCCTCCCCAGGGGGCATCACAGATAGAAAACCTCTGCTCCAGAGATGATTAATGTCAGGTGATCCAAAATGTTACGTTCCAGGTTGTGCTTTAAACCTGCTGTATATTCTACAGATTTACTGGAGTTATAGCACTTTAAACTCTACTCAGTACATACACCAAAAAACAACAAAAACCCACAATGTTTGTTTATGTAATAACCCTTAAAATGGACGTGTTGTACCCCCATCAAGTTTAAATCAGAAAGAGCAAAAACTGTGTTAAAACTGTTGTAAAGTTGTAGCCACATCCTCACAGTCAATGTTTGTGTAATGGCGGATTGCTTGATGTGTCCAATGGTACCTTCACAAGCTTGTGGAACTCCAGCTCGGTGACACAGGACTTATTATCGAGGAACGTGTGCTTGGTAGCAAGCAGGTCTTTGTACGCCGAATTCTCATCAGGGGCCTCCAGGGTGCGGAAAACAAGCGCTCCCATCACCAGGTACAGCATGACTCCGGTCAGCAGGGCCAAGAGGGTGGTGCACCGCATTTTCTCCCTGTCGACCCCCCTGCCCCTCCAGGGTTAGGGTTCAGAGCTCAGAGGCCAGGATCTGGTTGGGCTCTCGGTCAGGATACACAGGGCACAGCTGGCCATAAACAGGAAGTTCCTTTCCAGAGGCACTGCATGTGTGAGCACGGAAACGTGTAAACAAGCAACACAAGTGTTCTTGGAAGGCTGACAGACATTAACAACTTATATTTATACATCAGTGCGTCAAACCAAAGAGACGGTCCCTGACAGGAAAAGTGAGAAGTTAAGAGCTGGCGTAAGTACGCTTATTATTTTATATTTAGTGATGTCATTCTTTCACCTCACTACAGTAATCTGATCGCTGCAGTGACAGTACAGTAAAGACACAGCTCATAAAATGTTTATACTAACCAGCTGTATATACCATGAATTAGATTGAGTGCTTCAACCTTAAAAGGATAGTTATATGTACACTGAAAGACTTATCGGTGGCTTTTTGCCCTTCCTAATGAGACTTCAATAAAAGAAATAGAGGACTTGAGGCTTCAGTAGCCTGACCTTTCAACTCAACTGGGACTTTCCAAAGTTACAGTACAGAATTGTCTTTTGAATGCATTTTTTCACGGAAGTAGGACTGTGGGTTTTGTCTACCTGGGGCTTTAAGAGATTGGGGACAAAAGGGCATTCATGGTGTTGTACTTGGCTGTACAACAGTTTCTTAGTTTAGTTTTAGTGGTCAACAGCCACAAAGAGCGTTATGTATCGGCTCCTCAGAAAGTGAGTAAACTTCAGTGTGTGTAGAGAAAACCATTAAGATACAGTTGAGGTGAGGATGAGTTTAGATCAGCACTTCACTAAACCACACAGGGTGGCTTTGGCTCAGCAGGTACAGCGGGTTGTCCACTAATCTCAAAATCAGCTGTTTGATCCCTAGCTAAGGCAGTGTGTTTGGGCACTGAACCACAGATTGCTCCTGATGGCTGGGCCAGCACCTTACACTGTAGCTCGCTGCCAACGTGGTTTGAGTGTGTGAGGAGGTGAATTGTAGAGCACTTTGGATAAAAAGTTCTATATACATGCAATATATTTACACAGAAAGTCAGTGCCACTGAGTCATCAGGTAAACAGATCTGTCCCTCCACATACAGCCTTTTGTTTCCTCAGTGTCAGCCTGACGTAGTGTGTGACGCTACTAAAGCTGAAGCCTGTTTAACTTGGAGTGTGTCAGGAATCACTCCAACAACAAACCTTATCAGAAACCACCAAAGTTAACCCAGTTCAGGGAAGACAAGCATTTCAAGACAGTCTAACAAATAACTGGAAATAAAGCACAGTGTGTACATACAATGTGATCACAGACTAATGGAGCAATATTGTAACACTGAAAGGAACTGTTATTCACTTCCAAATGCTTTAAGTGGTTTATTTTATAATATCTTTAATGACCTCTTGTATGATGGATAAAGATAGAATAAAGATAGAACCTTAAGTCACCGTTGTCAGGAGCTCATCCCATGTTAAAGCTCCACAAATCGGGTGATGAAGAAATCTCTCCTCTGTATCCCTGTTCTCTCTGGTTCTCCGGTGTCTTCAGTGTTCAGGAGGAGTGAAGGATTGTGGGTCCATTTCTTTATCCTTCAAGAAATTTGAAGACTTTAAAGCATCACGAAATACAGAAACAGGCAAACACAGGTATGTAAAGTGTAAATGTAGATGTAGCAGCTTTAAGTTGGCACATTTCCCCGTTTCCCGCTCTGTTTTAGCAGGTTACGAGTGGCATTAAATAAGTGTTCACATTCTAGAGACTTTGTCATAATAACCAGGGAGCGACTGACACACACCAGGCCACCCTGCCAGCGGTCTCACAAACGATTAGACTCTGCCAAAACTCCAAACATACATCTTGACATTAATCGAAAACATGTTTATAGCTTATCTTCATTTGGCTTCTAATGTTTTCTTTGAACTGTGTTTACCTTTGAGACACACCCACACACGACTGGGATTAAGGTGCTTCTTGCTCTGGGTCAGCCGGCCCTGGTCGTCTCCACACGGACCTTGACAATGTTCTGAGATTTCCCAGAGTCTGGCTGACTGTTAGCATTCTGCGCTAATGGACTGTTGGCTTTGGTTTGTGAGGACAGTCTCATTCTCTGCCCCTGGCTACAGCACTGACAGACATTATTAGTTATCACTGTCTAAACCCACACTGGCATATTTTGATATTTTGCTAAGATATTGAGTGCGGGGGGCTTAGAAAGAGCAGGACTGTGGCTGACGGGCAGTGATCTAATCTTAAGTTAAACAGTGGGGCAGGTGTGGAAATTAATCACACTGAGAGCTGTTTGAAAAGAAGCATGAGGCTGGAAGAAGACGTACATGAGCTATTCTTAGGTTTACATTTAAGGCAGGTGTATAAGATAAATCTAACCAAACTAAGATTAACTACAGAAACAAAGATACAGCTAAAACAGCAGCAAACATGCCTCTCAACTTGATTAGTCGCTAGTTTAACCTTCAAAGTTTGGGGTCCTGGAGGTACCAACCCCTCCACTCAAAAATGTGTTTGCTTATTGTGAGTTCAGTGAGATGTTTGAGCTTCACTGTGCAGAATCATGTATGAGCGGAGTTTGACACAAGGAGCCTTAAATCTCAGTTTAACACACATACATATGTACTGGCATTATTTGTGACATCACAACTACTTTGGAGCCAATCGTGATCCAGTATGCAGCGGACACAAGTGTGGCGTGGAAACGTGAATCCTCTAGTGAACATATACGCTTATAATCGACTTTACTTTTTAGCAAACAAAAAGAATATACATACAACATATAAAACATGAACTATGTCCTTATTTGGTTTAATAATAGTCATTTTTCATATATTTTTTTATTTATTTTCTGTATCTTGTCACTTCCATCTAACGTGTAAGTTAGTTTATGACAGGAAAAGGTTACCACTACAATACTTTTCTACATATTGAGTTTAAATAATATCAGAAGAAAAGAAAACAAAAGGTTGATTTTGGTATTTCTATTGTATTCACACACACTGCTGGGTTTTTAGCAGCTGTATTGTTTCTACTGTATTCCAGCAAACATAAAGAGGCCTCTCTGTGAACGTGACTGTTGGCCACAGCCGGAGAAACAGAAGTTTTGTACCATCCCCTTTATCTGTACTGACAAACCTCCAGGGATAGACATGACCGTCTGCGCATGAGGATGTAGTATCTGCTGAAGAATTTACAGTGCTGGGAGAAAATAAAGCTCCTTTAGATGTAATTACCCCCCAAAGTATTTTCCTCTTTTTAATTTAGCCAACGCTAACGTCAGAAGGAGATCACATGTTACAACTCTGGTTTCATGCTCTGGGAAATAATTATCCTCAAAAATAATGATAGGACTGTTTTGGACTTCAGTGAAGAACAGAAAGAGACATATTTGCTGACATTTTGCTCTGAGGCGACAAAACCAAAAAAAAGATTGAAAAGCTTATCAAATGAGGCAGCTGTGCTTGCAGAAACACAGATGCATAAATCTTAAAATATAGTTTCAAGCTAAGTAACGTTCTAAATTTTGCATTTAAATTACTGTGTTTTCGGTAGTGTCAGGGTTGAGAGACTGTATATTGAATGTTGCAGGAATGCAGGAATGTCAGAGCAGGGGACTGATCATCTTTTTAAATCAGCGTGACAGTCTGCTACTATACTTGGTACCCTACAATTAAAAAGAAAAAGGAAAAGGAATTTTGGAGGAAAGGCCAAAGAGCCACACATTCAAACTGAATCTGAAACTGAGCAGCAAGCATGACAGAGACATTTTTGCTTATAATGTGAAAATAAACAACAGAATCTGTGTCGTCTCAAAACCACTGATCTCATAACTCTCAATATAGAAATTAATTTTACATGTCTTACCTTCAGTTTGGAGAAATGTTGCTATCCAAGTTCGTCTCTTGCAGCATGTGCCGTTCTCTCACCATTCAGCACTCAGCGAGGAGCCCTGTGTGTGTTTGTGTGTGTGTGTGTTGTGAAAGTGCATGTGTGCATGTGTGTTTTCTCCTTGGAAGGTGTTTCCCCATTCTCGTGACCCTACATCACTCTGACAGAGGAGAGCAGATCGGAGGAGGAGGAGCATTACGGCGCTGCGAGCGTGATTAAGTGCCGTCACTGCAGAGGAAGAGCAGAGGGCCCGGAGTTTCCTGAGCTGGATGTGGGGGGGCCTTCGCTCTCTAAATCCTCGCCTCTCCAACCTCTGTCTTTTTGGGAAGTAAAAAGAGACACTTGTTTCTTCAAAGTCAGAGTTATGTTCCACACAATTTTTCTTGCACTTGAGGAGGACTTCCATCATGAAATAAAACAGACAGTTGGAAAGTCTAACTCTTCAATTGAGTCCTTTAAAGCGTTCAGCACCTTCTCAACAATGTGTTCATGACCAAGAGGCAAAGGGAGAGGACTTTGATAATTGCGGAAATACTTATGTGATTAAACCAAGATATTCCACTTAAACACTTTGAGGCTCTCTTCATTGGACCATGGCACTCATTTAGACTTAATTGTACGGCAAAAAAAACTTCTCGGCATAAAGCTGACAACGGACCAAACATACCTAACATCACGACATGAAACAAAAAAGTACGCAGCCAAACTTCTCAGACTCAAAGGCGCTCAAAGATAAATGAATCCAACAGAGAGACAACTGTTAAATTAAGAGCAAGCCTTTTATTCTAGCCGCAAACACAACACAGATACATTCACATCAAAGTGTCCAAAACAAGGCAACGAATACAAAGTGAGCTTCTCGCGCTCACAGTCGTACATTCCCACCTCACTGCCAGAAGACTACAGATCCCAGAGATATGAAGGCAGCTGAAAGGGAGGGGAAGTGTGTGTGCGTGTCTTCAAGTGTGTGTATGTGAGGGTGTCAACATGGCAAATGAATGGCGATGGCATCGAGTCAGGACAGGAACAGTCCTCACTGTTCTGACTGAGTCAACAAACCAAGACCGGGAGAGAACAACTCTATCTCTAAATAAAATGTAAACATAAAAAAAAAATAATAATCACTCCACACTTTTAACACAATTAAAAACTTCAACTGAAATATCTCAAAGTCACTGAAAGAGAGCTCAGCAAGGATTTAAAGCATAGGTTTGTTCCTAAAACAATACTCACATGCCAATGTGTAACACTGAAAGACTTAATGGGTAGGTATCTTCCAAAGTTACAGCCTTTTTAGTATAAAAAGAAAAGTTTTACCTCCTCTGCCGGAGTATGAACTGCTCCATAAAGGAGCAATTGTTCACAATGGTTATGAGACAAGAGTCGATGGTACAAATATGTCTTTGGAATAAACTGTGTGAACTTCTTGTCCCATTAGAAAATGTCCAGGAGCTATTGTGACTGACTGCACCAACCTCATTTAACTAGCCCTGCGAGTATAGTCACTACGTCACCAAGCTTCTACACCAAATAGTTTCATATTAGCTTCTACTAAACTTAGAGCAGACTATATTTTCACACAGAACGAGGACTGTGGATTTTGTCCCCCTCACTTACATTGAAATTGTTTTAGAAAAGAATCAATTTACAACAACCAGTAACTCTTTCAATGTACATGTGAGTGCTGTTTTAAGACAGATTTTAATAATTTGGAACCTAGCCATTAATTATTTGGTCAAACCTTATAAGCAAGCAAAGTGGTGAGATCCTGTGGTTCAGGGCATAATACAAACTACATCCACTCCAAATGTATCTACAAAATCTACAGTGTACATATATGTCGGCTACAGCACAGTAACAAATGCAAGAACCAAAATCTAGCAAAAACAGATAAATTAAATTATATCTCATCTAATATCCAATTGAATTTATCTGTATGCTCCACTAATAAAATAAAACTTTAAATGTTTGCTTTTGGTAAATTCATTGCAGAGATGACCACGGAGTGCTCGTTAGTGTAAGACAGAGAAGCAAAGCAGCAGAAGGAGGAGAGAGGGAGCGCAGTGTGTATCACCATACATGGAGCGGAAACCAACGCAGGTTAGACTGAGTCACAGACAAACTCGCCCCTCTCTCTCTCCCACAAACACACACACACACACAAATCACATCAAGATGAGGACACGCATGTTCATATTCACAGCCAATATCTCACACGCTCACTAACTTTCACACAGTCTTTGTAAACACCTGCCCTCTACTGAAACACATTCAAGTGTCTATAAATAAGCCACGTCAAGAATCAAAAAGAAGAAAACATGTAGGTCACATTTTCACAACAGGCCTCTCTTGGCTTCACCCTTTTGGAAAACAAGTCAAACTTATCTTGACAAGCACTTGTTTACAAAAGCATCAACTAGGCACTGTTTCATTTAAAGTAGGATAGACCCATAAGTTAATTTAGAGTGACTAAAAACTAAACAGTCCCTTTGGAAAAGTGGTTGTTAACTTCAATAAACATCAACAAACATCACTAAATCACTACTTCTGTAACTAAACATACAGGTGGGTGTACAGTGACAGCAAAGTCTCCACGCAGCATTTAGGGGGTAGACTAGTGACCATTAAGACATTTCGGATCCACAGTGGAGGTGTTCCTTCTGCCAGTGCAGGCCCAGTTACCTGCACACACATACAGAAGTCCATGAGTGATTGCAGCACTTTTAAAACTGGTCCTGTGTTGGTTGGAAGTGCTTCAGGTTGCTGGTGATCGGAGTGTCCCTGTGTAGCAGCTGTCGTCCATCACTGATGTTCACTGTCAGACCACAACGATGAGCTTTCCACCACATCTGTAGACAACAAGTATGCAAACGCATGCAAATGTTAGACTATATTTTATTCTTGGATAGAGTAAAAATCTTAATTTAACCAAAAAAAATATATAATAACTTAACACTTATTTCCAAGAATTGTAACACAAGTAACCACATTTTTAAAGGATAAGGGCCCAGTCACACATGCACAAATTCACTTTGGCAGGCAATGGTCACTCCCCCATGTGTGACCAAGCCCTAATGGGTTATTTGCTTTGCAGCCAACTGAGTTATCCAAAAAAAATGGGCACTATTAATGCTTTCAATGACTGACTGTTTCTTTGTAAAGTTTTGAGAGTGTTTTAATATCTCCTTAGCAGACACAATAAAAGCTGTATCATTATTCTCATATAAAACCCTGATATGATCTTTGATATAGAGGATGAAATAGTAAACTAAACATAACAAGCATGTGGAGAAAAATATCTCAAATGCACTTGCTGTTTATGTTCAGATATAAAAATAGTTAAAATATTTATTTTTATTTATTTGCATGCATGAACACTTTTAGTCTAAATAATATAATTTATAAAATGTTAAGTTCCTCTCAGCCTTTTTGAATTTCTTAGTTCTTGGGACTTAAAAGGTCCAGTGTTTAACATTGAGGAGGATATATTGGCAGAAACTGAATATAATATTCATAGGTATGTTTTCATTAGTGCATAATCAACTGAATATAGGATTTGTTGTGTTTTCGTTACCTTAGAATGAGACATTTTTATTTATAGAAGGAGTGGGTCCTCTACTACAGTGGCTACCATATTGAATGTTTGTACAGTAGCCCAGAACAGGCTTTACAACTTAACTGTGCTGTACAAAGTGCAATACTTTAGTTAAGTCAAGTGGTCATTTGTTTGCAATCTGCAACTTTATCGCATTTAGATGCAACTAAATCCTACACAATGATCCATTAAAATCTACGCTAGTTTTCTCAGTGTTTGTTAGTCTCTGGAGGTCACCTGTAATTGTTTTAATCCGTCTCCTCCTCCTGTCCTGAGTCTTTCTGAGTGACAGGTACGACAGTTGTCCCTAACAAACCTCTTCTTACAATGTAGGGACACGAGGGACCACTGGGGATGTCTGCAAAACCTGCAGGACGAGAAGATGAAGGTGAGAGTGCGAAAGCACAAAAATATAGAGGCTTATTTACACAAACCTACAATTACTCAAGCCTGATGTGTTAGCGTGTACATTTTTGACCCCAAAACTATTGAACTACTAATGAAGTTACCTTTCATAACGACTTCTGGCAGTCCATAGGGTTCATACTCTGTGTCATCAAACGCGGCTGACAGCTGCGTCCTGTTACGGCGGATTCTTTCAGCTAGACGGGCTGGGTCAGCCGGGATTGGGAAGGAACCTGAAAACAACATCTTGTCTCCCAACTGTACCCCATCAGATAATTGGACAGGAGAGACAGGAGGGGATTCCACTAACTCTTCTTCCTCTTCTTCCTCCTCCTGCTCCTCAGTCTGTGTGTACGCACAGTGGAGTTCAGATGCTGTCGGAGCACTGTGAGAAAACAAACTCTCCTCTGTTTGACAGCTGACACATTTCATTTCTGTCCTGACATCATTATCTGAGGAATCACTGGTTGTGTTTATTTCACTGGTTGCCCTGGAATCATCTGGTTTGGACTCAGGATTCATCATGTGACACTCGCCTCTTTTGGTGTTCTTATGTCCTGAGACTTTTTGGGAATCTTTGGTGATCTGTTGTTGACCTGTCTTCTCAGATGACATCTGGATAACTTCAGTGTCTCTCTTCTCTTTGTGTTGTGTTTGACAGGTATTTGACTCACGTAAGAGGTTGATCTCCTGGTTTTCTTTTTCAGAGTCCTGAGTCAAGAGAAAAACATAACAATTGAAGGCCTAATCCTATATGTGAACAAAGATATGTACCCAGTAATTTTAAGTCGAAGCACTTCTCTCCATTTTCCTCAGTAAAGACGAGTACTGAGGACAGGCAGGTGCTTTTGTGCTTTTTGATACAAAAAGGTAAAACCTTAGCATTAGGAAATTGTTAGGGAGTTTCAGACTGTAAATAAAGTGTCACTGTAAATACAAATTACTTCTTCTAGCTTGGGATCAATAAAGTATATCTATCTATCAAAATGGACGACATTTATATACAAATAGCTACAGGATTCCTTCTGAAATATTTTAGGAAACCTTGATATAAGGAGATTAAAACACAAATAGTCTGGTATGTAAGAGAGTGATGATAAAAAACAAAACAAGACAAACAAAAATCACCATGTCAATCTCAGAAGTGTCCCAATGGTCTTCTTGAAGCGCTGCAGTCTTTTTAGACGGATTAAGACTTTTAGGTTCAGGAAGATTTCTGTGCTGCAGTCTTATGGCAAAACAAGAAAAAAAAAGTTAATGCAAAGCACACAAAAGAAGACAACAGAAGGTCATACTTACCTATATATTAAACTGAACATGTATACATAATCACCTTACATATATGCATGTAAACATCCAGTGTGCAGGATTTAGGAGCATCTAGAGGTGTAGTTGCAAACTGCAACTTCCTCACTTCACCCTCCACTTCCAAGTGCAAACGAGAACAATGGTAGCTTCAAATGTAAGTTATTGCCATATTTTCATTGCTTCCTGGTATGAGTGTGTTACCTGGAGAACAACATGCGGCCCTGCAGTTTGTTGGAGGAGGAGGAGAGGAGTAACTCATCTTCTCTGACGATGGTCACATTACCAGTGCTCTCCTCAACACCGAGGTCAGGCGTCTGAATCTGGGCCTGGACAGTAAGAGTCAGAGCCGGTTTCTGTGTTCCTGGCAGGATGCGGGTCATCTCATCAGTCTGCTGCTGGTTTGACAGAGACTGTCTAACAGCAGAGATCTGGTTCTGGGTCTCAGACTGGTTGTCTGTGTTAGGAAGATTAAATGTTGGGGCTGGTTGGGAGGCCAGTCTCCATATGGCAAGCTCATTGGCCTGCTGCTCTGTCTCCTTAGAGAGAGCCCGTAGCTGCATCTGCAGCTCCATCACCTGGACAGGAGGGGAAGGACAAGACACACTGAATCAAAAAGACACTCCAAATATAATAATAATATATATATATATATATATATATATTTATATATATATTTATTTATATAAATTTATTTATATATGTATCTATTGAATTCAAAGCATGGATGTCAACATCTACATTGCAAACTCCATCACATATTTCATTTTCCTGTCCACATGTAGTTACTTAACAACCTACTATCTTCTTCACTTAGACATGTCATTGTTGTGATATAATGAGGTGGTAAACTGTCACTACCTGTTGCTGTAGGCGGTCAATCTGAAGCTGACACACTGCCTCCAGATCCAGCTCTTCTTCAGTCCTTGTAGTCCTCCTGTCTTCCCTTTCTGAATCTTCATCTTCACTCGTTTTCACATTCTGCGGTGGTGACTGTTGTGCATCAGCAGGGATGTCATTCCGCACACTAGATGACCTCTGCTCCACCAAGCAGGACAGAGAAGCACTTCCTGTCTTACGGCTTTGGTTGACTGGGTCATCTTGGTTTTCACTGTCAGTGTGAAACACTGGGGTGCTGGTGTCCGAGTCAGTCAAGTTCAACACTTTTTGTTTCAGCAGCTGATTCTCCTGTCGGAGAGTGAGCAGTTCTGCAACCAGGTCTGCTGTTCCTCCACCTTGACCATACTCCGTCTCTCCCATGACACAAGCCGAGTCATGGTTACTCTGAGTCTTGTCTGAGTGTACAGAACCTGAATGCTGTTCCCCTAACCACAGTGGATCATTGTCACTAATAACTGTTGGTCTTTCAGCATTAGATATCACGGTCTCTGGTTCACCTGCATCTCTCTCAGCATTAGAGCCACTGTCAGCCAGTGAATCTTTAGTGAGGAATGAGACAGCACACTTCTTTTCCTGGTTTAGTTGAAGCCCTGAGATCTCCACTGACCTCTCCTCTTGTGCCTCTTCTTTTTGTTCTCCATCCTGTCCCTCAGTACCTGTCATCTCCTTTCCCTCTTTTTGGGCCTTGAGTGCATCCAGCTCTTGCTTGTAGCGCTGCAGTTCCACTCCCTGGCTGAGGAGGGCACTTTCTTTCTCTTGCAGCTCAGCTAGAAGGCCAGAGATGTGCTGACTCTGGTTCTCAAAGGCCATGGTTAGCTGCTGGGTCTGACGTGTCACCTAGAAAGAAAACAGAGGAATAGAGAAAATGTTGAAGCCAGAGCTTTGCTGTGTCTTAGGAACAGGTACACAGTGCACATCTTAAAAAGGATAACCAAGTAATTCTCTGGTTTTAGTGTTGACAAGTCTCCGCTTAAAAGTTATATACTTCCTTTAATGAGTCAGTTCTAACATTTGTTAATATATGTTGATTTGTTTATCTCAATCTAAAAACCAAAAGCCAATTAGGAGAAAATGTGAACGCATGCCATAAAGTCAATGCTGTACATTTAAATGATCTTTGCCACTTGTCAGACAGATACAAGAGTTATTTTATTCAGCTCTTGGTTTTTTAAATAATGTGTAATTTGCCCTAGTCTACCAGTCTCTGGCTTCTTTTCCTCACGGCTTTCTTAGATGGTTTTGATAACATCTATATATCCATCTTTATTTACCTGACTCTGTAGGGCCTCCAGTTTAACCTGGTACTGGTTAGCACGTTCTGTCTCCTTTGCATTTTCCTTCTGCAGGCATTCTACCTCTTTAGCCAAATTTGAGAAGGCCGGCTCATCCTTCTGGACCTCAGAAAGTGTCTGTTTGTGGTCTGAGCGGGAACACCCAACCAGATAGTTTTGTCTGGTGTCTTCGAGCTCAGAGGCCACACGACCCGTTTGCCCCTCATCTGATAGAGGTAAGCGTTCAGGATCTATCACAGTTCGCTCTTGCTGGATGAGATCTGCTGTTGCCTGAAATACAAGCATGTTGCGTTGGTTGGTGGACTGGCAGAAGAGGAGGTGCTGCTCTGGCGAAGGGATGGGCTTGTTGTTGCAGCAAACCATGTTGGAGTTGAGCTCATCATCATGGAGAGTCAGGTATGTTAGCGGGCTGTTGGCAACTGAGAGTTTCTCTTCTTCCAGCGAGTCTTCTTTTCTACTGCGCTTTAGTTCTTCCAATTCAGCTTGAAGTTCTTCTAGTTTTGTGTTCAGCTCCTTCTTTACATCTATGTCTGTGTTTGTTATTCGGTTCTTCTCCTCTTCCTCTCTCTTTCTCTCTTCTCGTTCTAAAGCAAGCTGGGCCTTTACCTCCGCTAGCTGTTTCTTTAGCTGGATATTTAGCTCTATCATTTCACTCTCCCGGTCTTCTAGTGCCTTGTTTTTGTCCTCCTCCTGCTCCTCTCTCTCATTATTTTCTCTTTCCTCCCTTCCTCTCTTCATCTCTGACTCCAAAGCGGCCACAGCCTTCCTCAACCTCTCTGTCTCAGCCTTCTCAGTCTCCAGCTGTGCCTTCCATTCCTTGTCCTGCTCCTCCTTCTCCACAGACCGGCTGGAATGTTTCCGGCTGAGCTGTTTGAGCCGGGTCCTGGCTTCTGCCTCGGCCCGTCGTTGGGCTTCCAGGTCCTCAAGTCGTTTCTGTAGTTCTTCACGTGCATCATGCAGCTCTGAATGCAGAGTGGCATTCTCTCTCTTGAGTTCTTCAAAGGCCTTGTCCTGCTCTACCTGGAGAGAAGTTGTCTTTTCATCAGAAAGCATCAAAGTGCAATGATCACCATCCATAAAGGTGTTGGTGGGTGTACCAGAAGTAGGGTGAGAGGAACTAGAGAGTACATGATCAAATGTGGAGTGTTTGTTTGGCCCAGAGGTGTCACTCTCTATTGCCTCATTTCTACTCTTGTTCTCCTCCTCGTTGCTGTTTCTTCTGTGTCCTCCCTTTTGCACACACTCAGAGACTGGGGGGACAAGGACAGTAATGTGTTCTGAGTCAATGCCTTCTCCCGGCTCTCTGTCAGAGGGGTAAGACGCTGCATTCTCTGCCCCTCTCTTACCCACTTCTTCTTTGCTCTTCTGCTCAGCAAGGGTGGCAGCAGTGGGCCTCTTGATGTTAGGTGGTGTTCGAGAGTAAGAAGGTTGAGAGGAGAAACTCTGTCCAACAGGGCAAAACTGGACAGGTTGTAGAACGGGTGGTGGGGCAGCTTTTTGTTCTGGATTTAAAAGGAAAGAGATACAAACAGCAGAATAAAAGATGATTTGTTTTAACTACAGACAACACATGCTCTAACAAATATCGGGCAGAAATAAAGCAGTAAATAAAGAGCTTATCTATCTTTTTTTAAATTAACTTGTGTTAATTACTGGAACAGTGTTTTGATTTGAGGACATGGATGGTGTATCATTGACCAGCAGGGGGCAGCACTGGGATAAGTGATTTATACATTACAGGGGAATTAACACAACCAATTAAAAATGACTCAGAGTCCAGTGGAGAACCAGAGCTTATCAAACTGTGTCAACAGCTCTCTCTACAAGAACTCATGTTCAAAAACATATCACATTAGCATAATTATTATCAATACATATCCCATGACTGATAAATTGTCCTCTCTTCCACTCGCAGCTCACTCCTCACCCTGCTGCAGTTCTTTGACTAGACGAAGGGTGTCGGCTAGCTCCTCTGCCAGTCTCCTCCCCTCCTGTTCCAGAGCTTGCTCTTTCTTCCTGCTCTGCTCCAGACTCACTGCCACACCCTCCGCCTCACGCAAGGCTTCCTAATGTGAGGTTAAAAGATACAAATGAAGTGGATTTAATCCAGTCAAATGGAACTAAGTCATAAACGACTGAATTTATTTAGGTATTTAGAAGAAGTGTTCTAGTTGGTTGTAGTAGTCAGTTCTCAGTTGAACCTTTATTATCCCTAACAATGGCCTGTTTTGAGACAGAAGGTGTAAAATATTTTTCTGTTTTTCTGTCATTTTTCTGACATTAAAACTTCATCAGCCTCTCTAAAATATGTCTTTTACATGTATGCCCATGATATATTTAATTTCTCAAAAAATAAACCACTAAAAATTATATAAGGGGAGTGTATAATTCTGCTCAAAGTCTCATTTCTAATATTTGCAACTGGAATGTTTGTATTTGTACAGCAGGACTTCCATATAAGGAATAACTGTGTAAGAGCTGCTGATGTATTGAGAGCTACACGTAAACAGTGTCACAATAGCAAAAAACCAGACAAACAAGCCACAGATAAAGGCGGCATTAGTGTTGCAAGCTGGTATACAAGTAATGGACTGCCACAAACAAACAACTCAGTGTGGCTGTATTGAGCTTTGGTCTGGTATTTTAAAACAGTTTTAACAAAGGCTTTGTCATGCAGTTTTTCTATGTTCAAGTCGAGCAGTTCATCACCCAGATTCAATATTTTACAGTCGTTTTATCGGGTACAGCAGGATATGAAGGTTTATTCCTTGCTTAAGCGACTGGCAATTTAGGAAATTGAGCTCTGTGAAATGCTCTCTAATGCTACACCTTTACGAAAACATAATAATGCTGCTGGATGACTGAAGAAACTACAATTCATTTATAATTTATTTACAGTTCACTTGGATAAAAATCTTAGACTGACATATGGCACATCAAGATGGTGTTTAAAAATTTACAGGGTTCATTATATTCCCACTGCTCAGCTAATGAATAATTGACAAATGCAGACCCTGACTCACTAGACTCAGGACTATCACTATTGTGTGTGTGTGTGTGTGTGTGTGTCTTTGTTACCGTCAGTTTGGCTTGTGTCTGGGCCTCTTTCTTCTGGCTCTCCTGTAGCTGTCCCTCCGTCCACTTCAGTTTCTCTTTCAGATTGTCCAACTCTTTGTCCAATGTCTGCTTCTGCAGAGACAACTGATAGAGGATATTATGAATCAGTAGCTGGTAAAAAAAAAACAGGGCAAAGGAAATCAAAGAGGATTGGATGAGAAAGGATATCAGAAAAAGATGGAAGTAAGAGGAAAAAACAAGAAAGAAGAATAAAGAAATTAATGACTGTTGTTGTAGGCGCAGGAATTAGGACCAGTGAAGGGAACGGGAAGGGGGAGAGCAATCAGTGATCAATAGCAAGCATAAGCTGTGTCTAATGTATTGTCTACCTCTGTGGGGAAAGTCACAAAGACTTAACAAGCAGTTCGGCTTCCCACCAGTGCTCATCATCAATTTTGCACATTATCTCAAGTCATGGTACATGTGAACAGTCTTAAAGGTAGCATTATAATAAAGTACTGTGTAATATTACTGATACAATTTTAGTAATCACATTACATTTACTAATCTAACTAATGGGCTGTTACCTGCATTACTTTCTTCAACCTTTTTAGATCCATTATTCTTGTGTCTCATGCTGCCTTCATGTCATGTTAGAAATAGCAACATGTACAGTACAGTGTACATGAAACAGAAAACAAGACGGTAAATACAAATATAGCTCACAGTGTCAATTAATGGCGTCTTTTAAAGACAAACTTCAGAGAATGTTTCTGTGGTAGCCCTAACCCATTTTACACCTTCTGCCACTAATATGGGCTTTATTCTACAATATGTATTGACACAATAATTGTAAGTAAGTCCAGCTATTTAAGAGATTAAAGCAGTCAATGTCATTTGTAGTGTAACTTCATTGTGTTCATTATTATTAAGAGAAGTAGCAGGGACTGTGTACATTCTTTACTCATTTCCTGCAACAACTTAACACTGCTCAGGAATTATGTCTACATGCTAGTCAAATCAGCAGATAATTTTTAGTTTCTGTGACAGAAAACTTCTTTTAGATTTCTGGTTTTTCCAGTTTCTTGGGAGAATTTATGTAAATGTTCCTTCTGTGCACAAGGAGGTAATTATATGTTGTTGATGTAGTTGAATGTCTCTGATTTTGTATGTGATTCGATTCACACAACTGTGCCTCTGTATTTACTCTCTGCAGCCTTATCAGATACAACAAGATAAAATCTGTGTGGTTTACAAAGGGCTTACGATATGGTTTTAAGGGACACTGTGGGTAGAATGAATGCTCATTGTTAAGAATTTTTACACCAGGGCGAAAAGCATAGGAATTAAGGTCAAGGAATTTCTTTTGTATGCGTCAAGAGGTTCACCATTGCGCCGAGATAAGAATTGTATTATTGTTCTGCTGATAAAAAATAAATACCACAGCATTCCTTCACGTAAAGGAAATCAAAACAAAAAGAAAACAATGTCTTTAAGCACAAACACACTCCTCCTTTTCATGCCACTTGCTTCAACACACCTGCATACAAATCTTCCATCAATTTTCACCCTCATCCCGCAGCCATGCCTTAATACCTCTCTTACTACAAACGCAGAGAATGTCTCACACACACAAGTTATGAGTTTGTTTCACGCTTACATAACCCAAGCAGAGTCACACGGTCATTACCTTCGCTGCTCAACCTTTCCACTGGGGAGAAACCGAGAGGAGAGGAGGGCGAAGCGGAGAGGAGAGCGGGTGGTGGGGGGGGGGAGGAGGAAAATAGAAACACAGAGAGCAAGACACTGAAATAGAGAGCAAGAGAAAACAACAAGGGCAAGAAGCAAGCGTGGGAGAAGAAGTGAGATAAGTTTATTGACCTTTGGTACAAATAATATAAGTCCCAGGAGAAAGAGAGAGGGGGAGAGGAGAAGGGATAGAGAAAGGAGGAAAGAGAAACAGGAAATGGCTGAAAAAACAGAGCAGACATACGAACCAAAATATAAACAATATGTAGAGAGTATCATTTAGGTCCTCGGTTTCTAGTGTTGATGCAGATCTGATTTAAAGGCTTTATCTTGGCAAATGTACTTGTATGAAAAGGCAAATTAGAAAGCTTGTTTGCTCTGTTCATGAGTATGATTTAGTGACTTTGTGTGTGTATTTACCTTGTCCACCTGGGCCTGCAGGGCGTTGTGGAGCGTCCTGGCCTGCTGGAGCTCCTGGTTGAGCTTATTCACCTCCTGCTGATGCTGCTTCTCCAGACACTGCCTCTCCTTCTGAAGCTCTGTTAAATCCTGGAGGCAGCGCAAAGCAAGAATCTGAGCTACTATCTTTGAGTGTAATGTGATACAAATTATATATTTTTTCATGAATGGAATGGGGCAAAAAGCAAGTTGGACACAAAACTGAAATTTTCTCTTGTTTCCAGTTGGTTCATCCCTCTCTATCTCACCCTCTGGTGTTGTTTCTCCAGCTCCTTAGAGCGTTGTTGTTGTTGCAGTCGGATGCTCTCTGCATTCTGCCGCTGACACTTCAGCTCCTCTTGTAGCTGCTTCAGCCTTTGCTCAGCTCCTGATGCCTGCCATACAATCACACACAACATATTCTCTTTAATACTGACTATTAGACAACTTGGGGGTCATTATCTTTGCTGCTGTCATGGGCTTAGAGTGTCTAACTGTAACATTTGTGTTTGTGTCTTTTATATGTAGGTCACTTCTCTAACTCTTGCTTATGTGAACACATTTGTTATATTGTTTTCGGTTGGTTTACCTCATTTTTTATCTGGTAATGCTGATTAACGTTTCACACTTTGAGAGAATTAATGGGTAAATTGGCAGCCTCCGTTATCCTTGGCATTGTACATTGTTTGCCTAAAGGTTAGAGCTCACAAAATAACTGGATTGTTTTCCAGCTTAAGCTTTCATAGTTGCTGATAATAAAGAATTGTGATTTTAGTAGAATATTTCCATCATGTTTGTCATTTTAAGGTAAGTTAAAGAAAAATGTTTTGAGAAATGAGGTCAACACCCATTTTGTGGAAAACAATAGGGCTTACAAGAAATATAAAACATTAGCACTGGAACGAATGACACTTGTTTACAATAGTAGTACCAGTTGTATCAGTAGCAGTAGTGTGTGTTATTACCCGTTCACTCTCCTGGGCCATGCGTGTGTGTGCCAGAGTCAGTTCGTCACGGGCTCTCTGAATGTTGAGCTCCCTGGCAGCGAGCTCCTTCTTGCTTTGCACCATTTCATTCTGAACCGACTTCAACGTCCCAGCCTTCGCACACAGCTCCTCCTCCAGAGCAGATACACGACTCCGCAATGCCGATACAGATACTGGTGGATGGAACAGAGAGTATAAAACCAGGTCTCGGAAAAACAGATTTCACCTGAACACCTTTTAAGTACACCACTAAGACAATCTTTTAAGGCCAATTAAAGGCCAATTAAAGGCCTTAAAGGACGGTACCAGTGGTTTGCAATACTGCGCACCATCTTCCAGAAGAAAACAATGGGCACAAATATTGATTTCATTGTTTAAATCTGAATCTTTTAAGTCAATTTAAGTTATACACCCAGTGTAGGAGGGATTTTAACTTAAATAGGAGAAAGGTGGTTGAATGGGTAGAGACAGAAGAGGAAATACTGACAAAACACATATTGTTAACAAAGTTTTCCCCAAAATAAGCATCGACATTATCTGCAAAACTAACTTGATTTCTTACAACTGAGCACCAACAGTCAGCAACACAGCAGCAAACAAAAGGGGTCAGTCCACAGTGACTGGTTATTGACAACCACAGCTGTTGCCTGTGGATATCGGGCTGCTTATTTCCAAAGCAACAGATGAAATCAATTTACTGTCTGTCCAATATGTTGTTCAGTATCATTTCTCCTCTTCCTTTAATTTTACAACACTGTTCAACTTTACGCAGTAAAGTAACGGATGACTACACATTGAAGTATCTATAATTATTATTATTGTCACCACCAAAACATTTTACAGATATAGTTATTATCACAATTAGTTATATTACTGATCCAAAAACAACCCACTGTCACGTTCCACAATTTATACATTTACCATATACAACCCCATTAGGAATTAAATTAAATGATACAGTGGATGGGCATTTTAAAAAACACAGCAGCTAAAAGGCACACCTAATGTAAACACTGCCCCTCCCCCTCTGTGTCCCAGCAGCTAAAAGAAGCATTTATTCTTTCACATTGACCTGTCCCCTTCCTGCTCTGAACAAACACACACTGAGTGGAGCTAAGAGAAAGAGGAATGTTATGTCACAATTATAAAGTGTACAAAGAGTCGCTCTACATGATGAAGCTGGCCTGGGAGCAAGCAGAGGAGTCTCTGACTGAGCCAGTGATTTCTACACAACCTCTTATGTAACAGGTGTTGGTTGAGGTTATACAGAGTACATGAGATTCAGGATGATCCCACTGCTTCACGTAAGCTGAGGTAGTCCTACCGGAGCTAAAAACTAAACCAAAACAGATAATATTTCATCATTTGCCATTATTGCTCAGTCCAGGATCACAAGAACAACAACTTCTTTCCAGCAAATTGCTGAATACCCGTCAGTATATCAGCCTTGATGGAAATATGGAAATTAGAGCTAATCATCTAAAACCTTAAGGACAGCTATACTATATATTTCTTGGTCCTACTAACAAGTATTGAGTGTGTCATCAAAACCTGATATAGATTATTCTTCTGTGCCAAAGATCTCCATTGTTGCCAGAACCTTAAAAATGAGACATGCTATTGCAACATATCTCAAATAAAGGTTATTTTGGACTTCTGTTTGAGTAACATCTGCTAAAAACTACTGCCCATCTATTTTAGGAAATTACTGAGCATTTTCTTGGGGCTGACACCCACAGACAGGGAAGTCTAAATATTTAGAGCTTGACTATCATTGGTTTTCCTCTTTTCATGGTATTTGCTGACAATAGACATTAAGAAAAATATAAGATTTATATATTTTCACTACCTTGTCATTTCTGACCTTCCAAAATCATACTTTGGCTAAAGGGCAAAAGTCAACTCTAAGTTATTCTGACCAGAGTTTTCTGGCCATCTCAGTCAATATTCAGACCAACGTTTGCTGCTGTGGCCACAGGCCCTGGACCAGCCTTTCCACTGATATCAGGTTACTGAACAATGTTGACATGAGGTTTGTCAACAATGTTTACTTTATAAACAGCATCTGAAAACGTATTTGTACTGACAGGGTTTTTTTTAATTGATGTCTGTAAAACCCTGTATCAGAGCCGTGATAAACTTCCAACAAGAAATCAGGGGCCTGTGTCTTACAAAGCAAGACTTAATGGGCAGTTAAAATGGATAACAGCACTGAGTAAAACCCAAAACTTCTCGGTTTACTTCAGTCTGTGTTGGGTTCCGGTCATACTTTATATAGTTGTCCAGCTACCTTTATTAAACCCACTTTAGGAGACAGGCTGCTGGGCTGAGTTTTATATGTACATTTGTAGGTGCCATAATCACCAAGGTGACCATTTGACATCCCCACTCACTGTCTGTCTCTGCCCTGTAGTCCTTCTCCTTCGAGCAAACCCCCTGCTCAGACTGGCCTTGACTGACGACCTCAGTGCAGGGCGTCTGGGGAGAGGGCGGGGATCGTCTCTTGGCTGTTGGCTTCAAATCATCCCGTTCCCATGGAAACGCAGCCATGGGAGTGGAGAAGGAGTCTGATTGGTCAGATGGATGGCGGTGCGGTGTGTTTCTGTGTTGTTGTCGTGGTAACGAGGCTGTGGCCACTTCTGAGAACTGGAGCCGTTGCTGATGGGAGGAGAGGATTAGATGAAGAGACAAAAGGAGGGTGTCAGGATGTCAAACTAGACAGAACATTTTAGCAGAATTTACAAACAACGAGACTCTAGGGTTCAAGCTCTCTCACTTTGACTTTAACTGTCTTTAAGAATGACTTATTGCCATTATATTCATAATATATAATACTTCCTGAGTGATAATTGGATTCAGTACTCAATTGTTACAACTTTTTCTTTTTGTCTGGAAACAACCGCAGTACATTATGTTTAGCAGTGCACTAGTATTTATCCCTCGGGATAAATAAAGTATCCATCTATCTAGTACGTAAAAACTAAAAAGGAATAAATTGGGTGATATTCCATATTATCTTATTGTAAACAAGTCTCACAACAAAACCAGCAGCAATAAACATAGGCACTCTAGTGTATTTTAAGTCGAACCCAGGAACACAGTTCAGCCTCCTAAACACTCACTGACGCAACTAATTGGCTCAGAACAAGGGCACTGTAGTTTATTTAGCACTTCATCTTCAACAAATACTGTATTTTCTCCTGTTTGAGTAATATTTGCTAAACTCTAACAGTCTCCAGCTGTTTAAGGAATTACTGAGTTGTTTTTTTTAAGAATTCATGTATGCATTTGTGACCTTTCTAAAGATTTATGACCTCAGTAGGAATGGGTTTGGGCTGAGAGCCACAGACAGGCTGGGGAAGTCAGAAAGGAGACAGACTAACACATTGTTGGTTTTGGTCTTTTCATGTAATTTGTTGACAAGAAAAAAACACAGAATCATATCTTTTGACCTGGCTGTCAAACCAGCCATGACAACAGCACCATTCTTAATTAATTAGTTAATGAGTGGAAGAAAGAACAAAAGAAAGAATAAAGAAAGTTCTGGTTGAGATGACGTGATCCAATTCCCACAAATACAGAATTACAGCTTTAAGCTAAAACCCACATTGATCTTCTTGAACTAGCCTACACAGCATAAAAACATACTGGTACTTACTCGGATGTTAGGCGCCCGACTCTGTCCTTCATCTCTATGCCCAGGCCTCTCCTCCTTTCTGCTCCCTACAGGGCAAAAACACAACATATGGATTGGACCTAAAACCGATCACCAAAGCTGAACAGACACAACAGCAGCGAAGAACCCAACTGGTTTACTGCCCAGAGAGGAAAGAGAAAAACAGTCCCCAGAGAGTGAGGGGTTGGGAAAGGACAGGAGCTAAGGGAGTTTATTTTTAACTTCTCTTGCAGTTTTTTGTTTAATTTTCCACACTATACGTGCATTAATAAAAAGATATAGAAGAAACCAGCTGATAGAATAAACACAGGCGTTAGAGGACTGTACCATTATGTTCCCAGGGTGAGGTTGTATTCCAGCAGGGTGTCGAAAACAGAGTGGTATCTGCTGACCGGCTGCTGTTCTGCAGCTTCTCCAGCTCTGCCTCCAGCCTGCCAGAGAGAGAGGGATTAAGGAGAAACCGAGGATGAAGGATTTGTCTTTTAATATGGCACCATTAACCTCATCAACCCCTGAGATTGATTACAGTTTCATGGCATCTTAAACTCAATCCAAACTTCAACTCAAACTGAACGATAAACATTTAAAAAGTACAATGGGCCATTTTTAAATGGTGTCCAGTAATGTCATTCTGCACATAGTGGTTTCAGTTTTACAGATGCCGAACCAGCCCTTTACATTAGGAAGAAAATAATCTTAATTCTATACTACTGATGCCAATTCCTGAACGCTGATCTGATAGCTTTGTTTTAGATTTACTGGATCATCAATCATCAACTGCCATATAATTGATTTTCCTCTTTCCATTTGTGTAAAACATGGCAGAAAATCAATCTTTCATGTTGCAGATAGCTTTAAGAATGAGTTCTTTCAGAATTATCTGCGACAAATATCCAACAAAGTAATCACATTTGATTAATAAATTATATTTTAAGTTTCATTTTAATAGCAGCTAGGTTATTGTCAAGGTAGAAACGCAAGGGTAGAGAATGCAACACAGACAAAAAAAAGACAACTAACACACAAGACATATTAAAACCAGAACTATTGACAGAGAAGCTAATTGTCCCAGATAATTTCCACTGGTCCTAACCTTTTGACTTCCTGGGTGAGTTTGTTGTTGAGGGAACGAGAAGCATCTAGCTGGCCCTCGAAAGCGCATACTTGGGCCTGCTTGGTCTGAAGCTCCTGGGTCAGACGCTCCCTGCTGGTCACCGCTGCCTTGGCCTCATCGCGAACACTCTGGAGCTCTCTCTGCACAGACTGGAGCTCCCCACGCACCTCCTCATACTAGGCAGGGGGGGAGAGAGAGAGAGAGAGAGCAAAAAGGTACATACTTTAGGATCACAAAAAATTTAAATGACAAATCCTGTAAGGAGGCAGAATTATACACGTCGTCGAGATATTTATACAATATAATTTTGATAAATGTTTGCCTCTTTTAACTACTTTGCCTAACATAACAAAACAGAATGTGATGGACTAGTACAGGCACAACCAAGTAAACAACCAGACTTTAACTTAACATAGCTTGATAAGAATATTTATTTAAAAGTAAACTTTGAAATTGATGATATGTTTCACAATTTGTTGTCATACTAATTCATTTTGTGGGGAATGGCACTATGTGAGTGATAGCCATAAACCAACTTGGCTCCTTGTACCTTCCCAGTCTGTTTCTCAAGGCTAGTTTGGATGTTGTCCAGCTGCAGCTGTTTCTGCTTGTTCTCTCTGGACAGTCGCTCCTGATGGACCTGCAGCTCCTTCACCTTTTGCAGGACCCGTCCAGACAGCCCTACTGTCCAATCCTCCTCAGCCCAGCTCATCTCTTTCTGCCTGGGCCTACCAGGGTCAGACAACACAAAAATTCAAATACAAGTTTCTTCTATAGTTTGTCCGCATTATAAGACACTCTGACGAAAACATTTCCTTTATAGTCTGAAAGGAACTGAGAACTTGAGGTTGCTGATTGTGTTTGGCATCAATGCCATAATGTGCCAGCTGACCTGTCCTACTCCTGCCTGACAGATCCAGAATCAGACAGTTCCTTGAGTCATGGAAGTCAATAGCTGGAGTGAAGAAACTAGTAACACACACAGTCTGTAACAGAGAGGAAGTACAGGCCTGTTAAGTAAAGTGCAGGTAGTTCTATGTCAATTTGTGTTGTGACAGAGGATCCACTCCATCCCACATGTATCTAAACATGTTTCAATCATCTGTGCACCTCTACCTCTGTGTCCTGTCTTGAATATGTTATGTTGCTAAGGCTTTGATCCCTCTGGGAGACACTGGTTGTCACCACTGGGCAGCTGTGACTCAGTGTTTTCCAACACAGACTGCCTACAATGTTCCAAGAGCACTTCCAAGCTGAAAATAAACCCCTTCTCTCTCAAACTTCTGCAACAATCGCTACATTTTCACACAAAAACTTAACATTACGGGTTAATACCAAGAAATGAACAAAACCAGTGTTAAAAGTGAAAGGATCGGAATGAAGAAAATCCTGATTGAACCTGTAGAGGTTAATTCTGAACTCAGTTTTAACATGCATTTGTGCCTCAAGGCTACTAACACCATACCTCCAGTCAGATAGTTTCTGTCATTGCTTACAGGTTGTGTCACTGATTTTACCTGTTACTGAAAACAAGAATGGCAAAAATACTCAACTAAACTGACAGCTGTATTTGTGAAACACACACCTCATATAACAACTTGACGAGCTACAAATACTGTAACAATACTTTTGCCGAGGGACATCATACGAGTGAGTGAGTGTGTGTGTGATTTCATTAGGTTGACATGCTTCCTTTAATAAGAACAAGATGGTGGTTAACAAGTTGCATTTGGTTTAGGGCTGCAACTACCAGTTATTTTCACCGTTTATTTATCTCACAATGTCTTACATTATTCATTAATTTCAAGTTTAGGTAATGAAAGGTGAAAAAGACCCTTGTCACAATTTCCCAGAGCCCTTATTTTGTCAGAAACCTATCCACCTAACCTAAAACCATATTTACTCTACATTAAATATAACAAACAGAAAAGCAGCAAATCCTCATATTTAAAAAAATAAATGTGAATGTCAATATTTTTTCCTGTATAACTGACTTGATTAAACCTGAATTAAATTTTAATTAAATATCAAAATTGTAGCCAATTAACTTTCTGTCACCAACGAATTGTTTCAGCTATAGTCTGGTTTAATGACAACATATTAGAATAATAAAGTCCTGGACTTATCTCCATTGTTGTCACTGGGTTTTATCACAGTCCACCTACAGAGACCTACTGGTATAAAACACATACTGAGGATTCATCCATGTTCATTATTACATGACAGCCACTTAAACAATGACTACCTATCTTAGTTTCTGGGTGTTGATTTGTGTTTGCCAGCCTAAACGTCCTGCAGCAGCTCGGAGCAGGTTTTTGTTCAGTAACAGACGGAGGATATATCCAGACATTGGACGCTGGCCTGTGCTCAACAAACGTCGGATCACGAGGTTCAAACAGAACAACAGACAAGTTCAAACAGAACCAAAAGAAAAAGGAATTACAATCTAACATTCATCATGAACACTTTCACTGTGTTAATCAGCCCCGTAGCTACTATCACCACATGAGACAGCCCTTTTGTATCGGCTGTTACTGCTTGGTCCATCAGCGGTCAGTGATTGACAACTAACCTAGCAATGATGCTAAGCTAACCCCAACTAAAGCTACTTACCATTCACTTCACAGAGTTAACGTTACAAAGGGCGCCACACACACACACACACACACACACACACACACACACACACACACACACACACACACAGAGAGCGGGGACCGGCTCTCACACCGCTCCTCTCCGGTTCCTCTCCGGTTCCTCTCCGCACTACGGACGGACGGACGGTCGCGTTCAACACAACCGACGTTAACTGACAGTTTTCATATCTCACAATATGCCGCGCGTCTCGTGCAGCTGACAAGCCAACAGGAGTCGTTGTGGCACGAGGCGGAGTTGGGGGTTGGTGACGTAGCGGGGGGGGGATGTTTTGGGGAAAGTCCTCGCGCCGGCGTGAACCTCTGATGACCTCTAGCGTCAGTACCTCACCACTAATCCGACCACAGCCCCGCTGTCAGGGAAACGTGGATCGATATATATCGATCACACATCAGAGGCTCAGTCTCAGGAGGTAGTTTGAATATAGGAATATATAATAATATAATATTGATTATATTTAACAGAGACTGAAGTAACAAAACAAGTAATGTGTGCATTGGCCTAACAGGAGGCTATAATAAAACTCTATAACAATTAGTAATATGGTAGTTTGAAAATGTAGTTTCAAACTACCATGTTTTCTTGATTTCATGATTTCAGCCTTGGTAATAATTATAATAATAATAATACATTTTATTTATAAAGCAATTTTTTAGGAAGTCAAAGACACTTCACTTAAGTTAAAATAAATAAATAAAAGAAAGAAATACACTAAAAAGGTGGAGTTGACTGTCTGAAACAGCCTCTAGACAATCTAGTAAGTGGACAATTTGTCTATTTCCAAGGTCCATAACACATTGTCACACTGAATGTTTTGTTTTAATTTGATTATAATTTGATTTGGTAATATGGGGATAGGCACTACTTGTAGTCTCAACCACACAATAAACCTGGAGCAATGTTTCAACATACCATATTGCTCTCAATTATGTACAAAAAGTGAAAGGAAACAGGGCTCAATTGGGTCCCAGCAGCTCATTTTATCCATGGCGCCCCAGTACAGGTTAATTTGTCTATGTGTCCAGCAATAGTTGGTTTGTTAACCAAAATCAAAGACACATTTCACACAGAAGTTTGAGATTTGCATCCAATAAGTCAAAGTATGTTGATAATTTACAACTTGTGTTCAGTTGACACATCTTTATAATTCATAAACAGGTGGGGGAGGGGGTATGGTGTATGTGATTTATACTGTATACATACATCATATGTACAACAGATTTAATTTGTAGTTTTAGTATTACACCTCGTGCCTCTTCGGGTCTCACCACATACATAATGACTGAAACTGAGCAAGACACAGCTTCTGTAAATGTAAACTGTAAATGCTTTATCTGGTGACCCAATCTACCTGTTAATCCATTTGGTGACACTGCACAGAGACACACTGAAGAGATTTCTGTTCGATTAAACCACTTCTCAAGTTCTGTCTAAATTGGACACTTATATATATAAACATACTGAATAGTTACACACCATCACACACATACATATTGATGAAGAGGTTACTATTACCAAGTCTTCTTGTCTTTTGAATGTATGTGAATGAGTTTAAGACATTCTTTTACATGCTTTACTAATGTCCGATAAAGATACAGTTTGATACTCTGTACAATGTGAACATTTGGCTGAATATTATCCCTCTACATTTGAAAGACAGAAGTTCAGACACGCACCTGAGCTTACACTTAAAGCTGGGATATCATTGATCACCAATAACATGGTAACATATCTAGAAAATGGCTTTATTTTTGACACTTTTCGAAGCCAAATTCTTAGTTCGATCAACTGTTTCTTGCTGAAACTGTTATCCATATACACACGTTGAATCTGACCAATTCAGGAAGCTTAATGTTAAGAAGATATTTATTTTATTTTATAGGACAGCTGAAGATAGACAGGAAACGGAGGAGGGAGAGAAAGAGAAAACAATGGGAGGCGACATGCAGCAAAGGGCCACAGGTCGGAATCAAACCAGAGCTGTATACTGTATGCTGGAGTACTACAATGGAAAACTCCTTCAGCCTTTTTTGTTTAATATCTGGTGATTGTAGCTAGTGTTGTGCAGAATACTAGAATTTTTAATCATCAAATAAATTAAATGAATCAATCAAACACTGGTTGATCACTCAGTAATACACAACCATTCCTGTTTAGTTACAGCAGTAACAACATCCACTGTAGGCAACTGTAATTAGATTATAATAGTCATTACAATCACTTATTCTTCCAGGTAGGCTCTGGATTTGAATGTAATCTGGGATTTGGTGGCTCAGTGCTGAGTGGTGCAGAAACCCAGAAACTAGCCTGCAGTTACCTCCCATATACTGTCACAAGATACCGGCTGGTGGGACAGACTGCTAAAACCTGAGAGTTTACAAGTGTGAAAAAGAGATTATGTGGGCAGTTATGTAATCTTAGTGCAATGCTTGGTCATAACAGGCTGGTAATTACAGGTGTGCCTGAGGGATTATTGCCTACGTACTGTAGGAGACCATTCTCAGACATACACCGTGTTATTTTCATGGGCTGTGCTGTGCAGTTTAAAACCAGAAAGTATGCTGGTTAAAATGTCCTGACTGCCGAGGAACATCTTCTGTCAGGCACTCTGAAAGTGGTTTAAAGTACCTTTGAGCAAGTTGTCCAGCTTACTTGTATGTATATGATGAAACCTTCCTTTAGTCTTTTACACATTCAGAAGAAAGAAGGGTTGAAATGAAATTTTAAAAAATAGCCATAATTAGCCATCTATCTATTATATAAACACCCCACCTGAATTCTGTCATTCACACACGCAAACACACACTCCTCGCCCAGGTGAACGCTCATGTGGGGTAAGCTCATCTTGTCACTCGCTCATTATTAATACAGGATTACGTTTATTCTCAATCCCAAACTCACACTACACTCCACGCACTCCTCACAAAAGTGCACACACTGTCTGCCAAGGACCGTCAAAGGTAGCAAGGCAGTCAGGTAGCTGTGTGCCGCCGGCTGGAGTCAGAGGAGTTTCATCCTTTTTCAGTGTACATGGAGGCCTGCTGTTCATCTGGCTGCTAACAAGGGCTTTACCAGACAACAGGTGGATTTCTGTCAGACGAGAATACACTACAGTTTTGTAAATCCAGTTCCATGACGGTAAGACCATAATTAAACTTCTATGATAGCATTTAAAGCAACAGGTGATAACGGTCTTCTTAAGAAAACATGTATTCATCAGTCATATGAGTTGTATTATTATACCTCATGTTTTACTTGAACAGACTTTATACTCGAGATTTATCTGACACAAAGGTTTTACAGTATTTCAGAGGTTTCTGTTCGGCCTTCTGAAGCTTAGATTTGTAAATATTTACAGTAGCTATGATTAAGTCCTTAATTCTGATCATTTACATCCAAATGTAAAAGATCTGCTACAGTCTGACTGCTGAGGTTATGACATTTTGCTTTGTCTGTATTCCCCAATATATTTCTAAAATACTACAACCCCAAATATAAACATGCTTAAATGTAGGTATGGTGAATGCCAGTTATAAATGATACTGGATTTGTGTTCTTAAACTACGATATAATTCCATCCTTTCCAGATGTTTCCTTGGACTGCTGTTTTCTCCCTTGAACCTAAAGTGCCCGGTCAACGCAGCACTGAGGAACTGGTCACCAATACTCTGATGTTGGAGTTGGGGGCCATGGTGAAGCGCACTGAACGCATCCGTTTGGAGCGGGCAACAGAGGGTCGGCGCCGCCGGCGCAGTTCTTCCTCCACAGCTGATTACAGCTGGCTGGCCACCACCCCAACCCCACAGCCCTACGAGCTGACACCCAACGACCTGCTGGAACTACAGGACCTCTGTGCCAGGATCCCTCCTGCACAGTGTGGCCCTTTGATCGTCAGGTGAGAAAGAAAGATAAAGGGACACATCTATACAAAGTGGCAGAAAAAGAGAGATATAACTGAAATTGAAACTGAGAAAGTCTGAGAGAGACTGAAACAGAGAATGGGTGTAGAACCAGATACAAGCAGAAAAGATGCAGAGAAAAAAGAGCTGGAAAGCCACAAAGCTGGAGACGACCTTAAAGACTGAAATAGAGAGTCAGACGGGTTGAAATGAATGGACAAAGACAGCGAGGAGAAAAGAACATACATAGCATATGAAGAGGAGAGAGCAGCAGGATTTCAGTCTAATCCCTTGAAGTGTTATCTTAACACCCTTAACTATAACCTACAAAGTAAGCTGATACCCCCCCCCTCAGGTGTGTAGGACTGGGGTAGGAAAGGGACAGTGTACAGTGTACAGTTTATACAGGCACATTTACATACATATTGGGCCATCCGAGCATCAAGTATGTCCGTTCAAACCTCGCATTAGAATTTGTCTACAAATGCGTCTTGAGTAAGCGGTCGTGATCGGATCTCCCTTACCCTCTCTATAAGCAAATAAATAAATACATCATTCCTGTTTGCAAAGACCAAATTCTTTGTTGTTTTTAACTAGAGGCCCATAAGCCAACACGCTGGGACAAACAAACACAGTGTTTTTTATCCAAAAAAAAGAAAATAACATAATGTATAACATTTGCTGAAATTACAAGAAGGCCCAAATAATTAACAAATGGTCATAGAAAAAGTTTATTATGTTTCTCCTCACTCAACAACTCTTAAAATTGCATCATTTTTTAGGGAGTCTGGGGATATTGTGTTCAATGGTGAAATCTGTGGATTCACAAACTGCTGCTTATCTGTGCAGATAAGACTAGAGATGTAATGTGCATTACAGCGAAACCACACAGCGTGTTTCCCTGTGCACTTACAGTCTGTGAGCTGAGCCCAGTGATCCTTCGGTGTGGCCCAGAACACATTTGTGTACACGCCGCTAATATAATGAGGCCATATGCAGCCAGGACCACCTTCGAATGTGGTCTGAGCAATCAAATCTCAATGCGTCCTTAATGTGTCTTCACGTCTGTACTTAGAGCTGTTCATTTGTGACCGGATCACCAAACACACACATAAATACAAGGTGTTTTTGATTTGACATTTTCTAACAATTGATAAAAACAATTAATTACATTTCTACTATTCAACAACATTGTACTTGTTTTATGTACAATACACACCTCAGCCACAGCCTGTTCACCCTGCTGCCATCTGACAAGGGATACAGGAGTATCTGCTACTGTAGACTATAGAGGAGCTTCTTTCCTCAATTAATCCTCCACGCTCCGCCATAAAGAAAATACATGGAACTTCTTACTTCACACATGCGGTACATACTTTCTGGGTGTATACGTGTATAAAAATATATGTATATAAGTTATGTATTATGTATGAAACAATGTGTGTGTTATTTTAGACCAGGCTGTTCCTAATAATCAGTTCTCCCTCCCACTACAGGTTCAGGAGGTTGGTGTCACAGATGGAGCCGGAGGTTCACGAGGTTCCCCGTCTGTTTCGCACGGTGCTGCATGACTGTGTGGACGAGGTGAATTCAAACGAAGACGTGCAGGAACCCGTCATTGAGAAGCAGCAGCGCAGCAAAAGCCTCTCTTTCGATACTTTCCGCAGCAAGTTCCGGACGGGTCACTTCTTCAAGGGCATGAGAGGCTCCAGGGGGAATCTGCAGCAGGAGGTGGATTGGTCTGATGAGGAGGAGGAGGATGGAGAAGGAGAGGAGGAGGCCATCAGGGCCAGGGCGAGGAAGGGAAGGAGCAGAAGTATGCCAGAGATCAGCCCTATGGAGCAAAGTGCCCATGGCTGAGAGAAGGGAGGGAGAGTCAGGGGAGAGACAAAGGGAGGGAGAAGAGGAACAGTGCAGGTAGGGAAAGAAAATGAGGAGTAACGACGTGAGGGAAAGTGAAGCACAAAATATAGATGACTCAGCATTTTGTAAATATGGGGAGGAGGGGGAAAACAGGGGATGTTGAGGAAGGAGGGAAGGTAGCATTCAATGAAAAAGGGGACAGACTAGATTTGAGGAGTGTGGGCTTAGAACAAGTTCTTGACCCTCAGGAAATCCACCTAATTGCAAATGAATTAGTAGTCTTTAGTCCACCCCAAAAGCAAATATTGTTTTCAGTTCAGAAACATGTGGTTGTGCTGCTGGGTAACAACTTGTTAAAACAAAAGTAATGCTACATTCACACTGCAGTAAAAGTGACCCAAATCTGATGTTTTTTGGGCCAATATGTGATTAAGATATGGGCCACATTCAAAAAATAATGTGAACAGCCAAACAAAAAAATCTGAATTGAGGACTAAAGCTTGACAGTGTGAACGTAGAGTCTACAGCCATACTGGCGGCTCAGTGAGGCTGTGCTTAGGCACTGTAGTACTAAATGCTAATGTCAACAAGCTCACAAAAACAATGCTAACATGCTGATGTTTAGCAGGCATCATTTTAACCATGTTCACCTTCTTAGTTTAGCATGTTGTGTGTTTAGTGCGCTAATTAGCACTGAACACAAAGTGCAGCTGATGGTGGTGGTGGGAATGTCATAGGTTTGCAGGTATGTGGTCATAAACTGAATTTTTGGAGACATTAAAATCTTCTATCTAATGATGATGCTGGATGTCAGAGGATCGCCAAAGTGATCACAATACATCCTGAGGGGAACATGGAAATCCAGCCAATATTTATCAAGACATCTCACTCAAAACCACAAATGTTAACCTGCTGCAGGAAATGTCAGGTCATTAGGATACATCTCGGAAAGTTATGGAAAATAAATACACAAAGTTCTCATCACTTCTATTTGGTTAAAACAGTTTTTTTTTCCTTCCACAAAGATGTCTGTTTTTTTTTTGTTTTAAACGTAGCTGCAGTTCTGTAACATTTGAGACTACTTGTGGCCCGCTGATAACTGTTAAGTGTAAATTTTTTAAGTCTAGTAGCCTTGAAGCCCTTCTACAAAAGGAATGAAAGATACATGGACCTTTACACTTATTGTGATTGAAAAGGGAAAATATTTATATGTATGTATCCGTCTGGGGCCTGTACCGTGATAAATAAATAAATACGATACATCTTTGTGGTGTAAATGTGTTGAATATATCACATAAAACTGCACCGGCCTACCAACATCTCTGTTGACTACCTGGCCTTCTAGCCCAGCATGGCTAATTATATCACTGCTAATCCTCTTAGTCCAAGAAAGGCTCAGCCATGAATGCCAGCACCCCATTATTATTTTATTAATATGCACTTTCTTATCAATACATCATTATCACTATTTGCACTTTATACATTAAGTCAAGGCATTTGGCTAAAAAAAAAAAAAAACAGACGGGAAAAAATAGGAAGAATGTTTTGTTTCTTCTTAAAAAGCTGTGGTCATTTAAATAAGATCTGGTACATTAGAGAGGGGAAGTATCTACAACAGTGACATCCAACCAGACACTTCCAGGGAATCTGGCTGATTGAGACACTTCAATACCGGGTCTTCACAACCAGCCTCACCCCTTCATAAGTACTGATGTCAAACCTGGATCCTGTTTAAAAACTATAATTGTATGCTTAAAGTCTCTCTGCAGCACTGAATGTGCATCTTTTACAATTTTCAACCATTCAACCTGCCTAATGGCAACAGTTTCATTTAAAACATCAACCTTTTAATGCAGCTTGTGCCTGAATCAAACCAGCAAAGCTTGCTGTAACTGCCCACTTGTGCCTCCACGACGCAAAATGCTGGATCACCAGCGAGTGTCTTTGTGTTGTGTCACAATTCTACAAGAGTACCCATTTGGCAAATAAACTTTGAAAGCAAAACAGAATATAACTGAATACAAAATATTTCACATCATTTCTGAATGGTGGTAAGTGAAGAATTGTTGATAAACAAGTGACACAGTCATGCTCTTCAATAACAAGAACGTAAACTAAGAAGTAAAATGATCCACAAATAAACTCCAGTTCTGTTGTTTGGCTTTGAAATAATATTAATAATGATAATAATAATGACATGTGGTAAAAGGGGTAAACAAGGGGGGGATCTAAATTAAAAAGACAGTTTGGAGAATCAAACCATTTAAATTATAGCCATTTCGATTAAATGTTTATGAATTATTGGTCAAAGTACAATACAGAGCAATATGTTGCTCTCTCTATACAAAGTGGGGATTTTAGATCACATATTCTTTCATTTGGACAGAGTTCAACATCTTCATTCTTCACTGAATTGTTGAATTAGGATCAAGAGTCTGTGGCTTGGGAATGACCAGAAAGTCTGTGTTAAATCAAAAAGTCTCCCAAGTCTCCATCAAACTGTCATTTTCATAGAGAAGTCTGTCCTTCAAAATACGTTGTCTGGACATGTCGTCTCAGTCCAGCTTTAGTTTTTACTTCTCCTTCCCTTCAGCCGCTCCTCTTTTCTTTAAGCGAAGAAGACGACAAAGATGATGAAGAAGACGACAAGGACAAGAAAGATCTTGATCATCAACCAGCGGTTGGAGGAGACCGACTGGAAGTATTTGAGGATCTCTGTGTGGGCAGACTCCACGTTCAGCTGGGTGTCCTCCACGTTAGCATCAATCCTGTGAGAGAGACATGACAGGCAGTTCAGTGAGAGAGGATGACAGATGCTAATTATATTAGCTATAATCTCTACTGTCAAATCAGTCAGTTTGTGAGGCAACTGGCAAGTTATCTTGGCAAACATGATTAAATGTCTCAATATTTTAGTCTATAAAGTGAAAGATATTAATGTGAACTGAAATAATTTAATAAAGTCAATACTCAAACTCTATAAGCACTCATTTGCTCTAAATCTCCCCTTTTTTACTCAAAGTTTCCTATTGTTTCTGTATTGTTAAATTATTGCACATAAATCATTTCAAATACAACCCCCAACAAACTCAAAACTTTTCTAGTTGTTACATTTAGGTTTTTGTATGTAATAAACATACAATATAGAATGTGTTTATTAGTAGAGCTTTAGAGATCCTTGTATGTGGATGGTCTTAGCCTCAGACAGAACCAGGTTAGTTGTTTACAGTCTCTGTGCTAATCTAAGATAATCTTGCTCAAGCTTCATATTTACCACACAAACACGAGAGTAGTATCAGTCTTCTCTTCTAACTCTCAGTAGAGAGAAAGAGAGAAACTAGCATACTTCCCAAAATGACAAACTATGCCAAACTAACATCTCATCATTTCCTTAGTTTCTGAGAGATCTCTCTCTTTCACTGACTCTCCTTCTTACCTTTGGATGGTCTCCTCTTGCTCCTTGACCATGTGTGCCAGCTGCTGGAATATGGAGCCCAGTTCCACGATGGTGCTCTCAATATTCTGCATCGTGTCTGCACGGCTCTGGATGTATGAGTCCTGTAATGGCACACCCAGCAAGATCTCAAAAATGGGCCACGTTGACCTATTTGGTCACATTTTTCAACTAAGATTTTATCCCAATGTTCCTCTAATGTTTATGGTGGAAGATTTTCTACTTATTGATACAAAGAAATAACAACACTGTGCACCAACTGACTTTAAAAATAAACAATAACTTAAATTTTTCCCAGTTTCGAGCTAGCAAATTAGATGCACACATTCCTCTTCATCTGCCCGTCTTTAACAAATATACACTAACAGTCTACCTGCTCATCAATAAGCTGGAGCTGCAAGGGATTGGTCTGAGAGTCCATATCGATAGCTACATCCCCCATACTCCTGGACTCATCCTGCATCAGGACCGAGCTCTCTAAAGAGAGACAACAAGCAAAACACACACAAACGTTCAACAAGATCAGACAGAAATCCTCAGTGATAGAGGGGGAAAAAAAACAGCGGGCACATACAGTAGCTAGTTATACCCGCTGGGAGAGTCAAACGTTCCAGGGAAATACCTTTTAAATTTGAGGTTGTATTGCCCTGGTAGTCATAGCGCTGCTCGCGAGCTGCATGCGGCTCCTGGGCCCCTTTTTTGCGGCTCCCTAAAATATTTTTTAATTTTTGCATTATAGATGACCAAATACAGTAATAATCATTCACAAGGATTTCGAGCAGTTCCCTATTACAACAGCTGTTCGAAAAAATACACTGCCAGTCCAAATGTTTCTGTACGTCTACAGCTAAAAACGTTTGTGGCTAAAGTTCAACCATTTGCTCATTGTAAACAACCTAAAAACAGTAAATATAAACTAATAGATTTATAAGAACTTTTTACTTAAAAAGTAATAAGCTTGTTTTTTCTTTGTGATGAGCAGACATTTGGCTCCACGTGTGTTCCAAAAGATGTAAATCTTTCTATTTTAATACCCGTTTCTGGAAAACACTTCAATCATAATAGTATAATCTGTACATTGTTAAAGGCAGACGCACTGGAGCATAGACAGTGCGTTGTTGTCTGTTACAGGGTCTAATTACAGCAATAATAATTAATCTAATTTTCAATTAGATAGGAGTTATTTCCAATAAAATAAAATATGACTAACCTTTTTTAACTCTCATACAAATTTGTTAGCTATATTTTAAGATATCAACATTGAGCACAATGTTTGAGATTTAACCAAAAAGGTGGAAATATAGACGGTCCATAAACATTTTACTCGCAGTGTAAATGCCTGCACAGGAAGCATGAGCACCCTGTGCTAATTTAAAGGGTCTCTGGTAAGAAGCCTGTTTAGCAAAACGTTTGAGCTGTTTATTTAACAAAACTTTAAACTGAGCAGGAGCCAGACATGTCGGATATTGCTTCAAAGCCAAAACAAAGAAACAATAAAGGTGTGTTCACTCTATTACACTTTTTGAAACTGCCAGCAGTATTTTTATGTTAGATGAAACAGGTGATGAGTGTGGCAATATTTACATAGGTTTTACAATTGATTTATAAAGGTGGATATAATTTGAGATGGCAGAGTGTGCTGCAGAATGAAACCAAATGTTATGATAGAAATCTGTGTGCGTGAGTGTGCTACATTTTTATCCATTTATTTTTAAGTTGTGATTTGAAGTCCAAACCCAGTGAAGTGTGAACACAAAATGGGGCTGAGGCTAAAAGCAAAACTCAAAAATAGAGTGAACACGCCCTTTATGAAACTAAAACAGCATGCGGTGTTTCCCTTTTGGTGCCATTACTTTAACGCGAGACCCTTGTAAAAATCACAGTGAGTAGAAGCGTGAGGCTTAGATGTGGACAGACTTACTGAAGTTGTTGGCCATCAGAGGAGAAGATGAGACAGGAGGCTGGGAGAACTGCTCTCTCCTGCTGCGCTGCTGCTTCAGGTTCTGCAGGAAAAGGGACAAATAATGGAGGAGGTTTAACATGGCTGAGAAAAACTTTTTTTCTCACATTTTAAAACTATTTTCTGCCTTTTAATGATAACGTATATTAAATGTTTCTCACCTCTGTTCTGACTTCAAGGACTGATTTGAAGTCATTGGACATTGAAGCCAGTTTAGACTGTGAACAACCAAATATACAGAAAAGTTAAGCAAAGTGCAGCTTGATTGTGTATTTGTTACAGAGAACCAATGTGTGAACGAGAACTATACAAACACTATCTGATGGCGTTATATGAGCGATCATCTTTTTTTGTTTCATATATATCTACCACGTCACGTTCAGCATGTTGTATTTTGTTTCTTTTTTTGCATTTTTCTCTTTGTTTCTTTGTATTTCCGTTTCTCGTTTTTTGTATTTGCAGAGTCACTGTTGTTGTAGCTTTTGTTCTTGCGCAATAGAGAAAAAAAAAGGGCTGGAAAAATGTGTGAGATACAAAATAACTTCCTTGGAAGAAAAAATAAATATTTGTATTCTTAAAGTTACACAATTTCCTTTTTTTTTTTTTTACTAAACATGAACAAAAGCTCAACTTGATTCAAAGGTTTAAAAAAAACTTAAAATAAAGAATATATTAAATTTAAAATGTTTGCTGAACCTTCAAAATTCATGTCCAAATTGGCAAAAAAACGATGACACTGGCCATAAAAGAAAAGTACATCAGGATTTAAAGTGCAGAATTTTATGCACTTGGACTTAATGCACACATACACTACAGCACGAATTAGCTGCTATTAAATATACCTGTAATGACACCACTATAGTGTTGGAGTGGGTTTGGATATGTCGGCCACCCGGAGCTCCGCGGGACCTCACCAAGTCCTGCAGCTGTGCTATCTGTTTGTTTAGACTGTTGATGTCCTAAAAACCGTAAACACAGGAAATGGAGATTTTATTAGACAGTAATGGGATTATAGAGAGCTGCTATTTTCATAAATAACGTACATTTTGTTTGCAAAACCACATTTCCTGGGGTGTTAACAATTCAACTCACTTGTTTAATGATGTATGTTAGCTCCTCGATCTCCACTGCCTTGTCATCAAATAGAGATTTTCTTTTTGCCACTAAAACGTCAAAGCGACAACATGGAGAATCAGCACTTTGAACTTTATCACACAAGATTTTTAGCACATTTTAAATGATGCTAAAATAAAAAAAATAACGGAACACTTACAAATAGTGAGTTTTTCCAGTTTCGCAAATGTGTTGCTCAAGTCTTTTCCAATTCTCCTACAAGGAAACAAACACATACATTTGTAGCTTTCTCTGTGATGCACATACTAAAGAAGTACTCCAACACTGGGAGAGAGGCTCATTTGCATTTAACTACAAACTAGATTATATCAGTTTTATTCTGTGCTTTGAGTCTCCCTGCTTATAGTCTTTGTACTGTGCTTTGCCAAACATGCCCCCGACCAAAGTCTCCCCCCAAATCCATATCACGCTTCTCATTTAAGACTATAAATGTGATTTCTATTAAAATACGCTCTACAAATGGAATTAAGATGTGCTTTGAAATGCAAAAAAGAGAAGAGGAGAAAGCAACACACAAAATCAACATAAAAAGAACATTCAGCAAATATTTATGAGCTATTGAAACTGAAGAACTATGAGGAACTTACTTGGCCATAACTGTGAAGTCGCTGCGCTGCCTGAGGGCGCTGAGAGCCGGTTTACTGGGCTGGACTCCATTCTGCTAGGGAAGGTCAAAAATAGAGAGTATGAATGATGTGTCAGTATGAGCACTGGTAACTTTGTGTTATAGTCCACCTGACACACGGTTATTGAGGCCAATACCAATAGTGATATTGGAGGGTTGAAAAACAATCTGGTAGCGATAAACTGGCCAATGTTTTTTTACAAACTGTGACCACAATATGGTTAAAAAATAAAAAATGAACTTATCAGTGGTCCCTTATAGATAAACTATGTAACTGAGACAATGAAATCATCTCAAAAGGTATCCTTGGCATGTCTGTACTTTCAGTATCTCTGTGATAACTAGTATCGGCCTAAAAACTGTGATAACTGACCAGCTGCCCTTTACAATATAGTAAAAACATCATTTTGAGATTATTTTGACAGATATTGTGATATGATTGACAATTAGTGTGGGAATGATCATTTTGGCATCACATATTTCATTTTCACTGAAGAAATTATTAAATCTAATTATTATTAACTCAAATTATTACTACATTTGTTTGGGTCTGTTGCCTAAATCTGGAGGTCAAGATTTGTGGGCCGGGGCAACTCTTCAGAACAACAGTACTTCTTTATAAATGTTGTTTTGTCACACATTTTATCTGTTCAGCCCCATTTATTAATTTACAGATTGGAAATCACACTTGTGCTTAACTTAACCAAAGATTCTGTGTTCTTTCTTTTCGTGACAAATGACCGCGACAGATCTGATCAGACTAACCCTCTGTGGAACCAAAATAAGAAGTAAACAAGGAACCAAAACCAAAAGTAAATAAAAATGTATCTGCGTAACAGAAACTACAGTGAAAACACACCATTGTACGTCTACATGTTGTAAAGTTGTTGTAAAGTTGGGCCAAATGCCTAATTGTACATAAAGTGACTCTGTTGTTACTGTGCTGTGATGGCAGGTGTCCTGTGCCAACATACCGGCCTGCCCTGGAGAGATTTACAGGCTGACTGGAACTCGAGGGTCCGGTCACGGCACGTCATCCTGCCGCCGGTTTTGGGTCACCAGCCCGCTGTAGACCAGGAACCACCAGGAACCACCAGGGACTGCCGGGTCCTACTCCTCTGCTGTGTGGGGGATGAACACGAAGACCTCCCGGTGTGGACACAAACTCACATCCAAGGTGGGGTATCCTTCATGGACGTATGTACACACATGTCTGCAGTAACGGGGGAAAAAAAGACGTGTTAGATCCACATAAAGAGCTCATAGGCTGACAACGTGACAGCTGACTGATCACAAACACTCAGTCTGATCAGTTAGGTCGGACAGTCCCGGTACCGTTAGCTAACAGCGCGGTTCTCCGACACAAACACCACCGACTCGACCGCGACAACCGGGCGACAAACAGCACAAAGTAACTAACAAATAAATCCACAGCTATATATACATATCATTAGGTAACAATGATTATCTCAAGTCTGGACCAGCTGTGTGTGTACAGGCCGCCCATCGCGACACAGCTGATCACGGCCTGACCGGCTAACCACAGGCTAACGGTAGCTACACCGAGCTAACCGGGCTTTTCACACCGTCTCTCCGGTTCTACCGAGGTCAAATTCGACCTCGACTAACCATGTGTGGTCTGACTTCATTTAAAAGACACAAATCGATCGGTTCCCGCTCACCTGAGGCGATATCACAGCATATTCGGAGAGCCCTCGATGTTTCTGGTGAAAACTAATCAACCCAGGAGTTAAAGTTCCGATCCGGGTCATTTCCGGCACTGACGTCACTGCCACGTCTACTTTAGCGTGGCGGAAAATCCCTGCAGGCTCCGCCCACCGCCACCAGGGGTCGCCACAGCCCCCGTTTACAGTGCGACTGCCCTCACACAGTACAGGATGCTATAGTAATGGTAATAAAGACATGGTTTTAGTTGAGTTGAACAGCTACAGAGTGAATTCTTCAACTTATTTCCACTGTGGTTCTTGATATAAAGGGAGTAAGTGCAATACACTTGATTACTATTATGTTATTCTTTAATTATTCAAGCATTCCTTGTAATTATCTATAACTTCTGCGAGCCACAATCTTAAACTCATTACTATTTAATTTCTGTCACTGTGGAATATGTTTACATTTACTTTGTATATAGGCTGTTATTATCTTATTATATCTCTCAGGCTCTTATTATATTTCTATTTCCATTTTTATTTTTATCCTTACTTTTATTTATGTATACACATATACATACCTTTCTATTCTGTATATTGTAATATAAGTATTATTTCTATAACAACTGTAACAAACTAATTTCCCCCCCGGGATCAATAAAGTATTTCTGATTCTGATTCTGAAGATACAGGAGTTGAGCAGACAAGGTGAAATCCTAATGAATAAATAAATAAATAAAATCACTCAAAACAGCAAAACTAAAATTTAAGATTCCCATTAACCACAAATTGGCCTTCTTAAAGTTATGATGGTGGGCCATCTTATTTTATATCCTAGAACCTATGGTCACATTAATCAGCAATAGGTCCCCAAGTGCAAAAATAAGTGTGCATTATGTACAATTATATAACCTTGTGTGTGTGGTAATTTGGTTAATATCTGGAGCATTTGCCGACTTTGCCATGTTCCCATGTTGATATTAGACCTCTGGCAAGCACAAGTTAGCAACACTAGAAGTTGTAGCAACATTGTTTAAGTACGTCATCCAGCTTCTTTCCTCGCCCTCAAACATTTATCTCTAAATAGAAATCTTCTGTCGTCTTCAGAGTTAAATGGGAGGTAAAACGTCTTCTAGAGGATGTAGAATCAGGATCAAATTGATTTATTTGTGTATATATACAAAGAATTTCACTTTTCAGGAGTTCTCTATATACACATTACGTAACACATGAAGATTTACCATTGATTTAGTTTCCAAACAAAAAATGGCCACATCACTGCTGTCGTGTTTCATTTGAATTAAGATATAAATCAGAACAAATAGTTTATTATATTGTGAAATGATGTGAGAGTTATGTTGTGTAATATGAACCCTGCTTAATCATAATATTGATCAGATAAAAATGAACCTGATCCGTCATTAGTGATTTGTAGGTGAAGTGAACCTGTAAGTCAGAAGGTGGAGGAATGAACAGACAGACAGACGGAGGACGTGATTGGCTGCTGTCTCAGGTGAGTCGATCTGCAGGTATGGTGTATGGTATGGACCGAGAGATAACATCCAGCAGGCTCTCTGATCTCCTCTCACTCCTACTGGTACCCGCATCCTCCGCCTGACAGGACTGAGCACGCCCAGACCACAACTATGCCCTCACCTACTTATCTGCCAGACCCCCAACCACAAAAAAACCCCAGCCCTCCACCCCTCCCCCATACCTGGCACCACCCCTCACCCCTCATGTCATCTGCGCTCCCTGTTCACCTTTTATACCTCACTATAATCCACGTAATGTATCTCCTTCCTCTGAAACACTCCCCTTCGCACTCTCACACATTATTTGATGTTTTAATCTGTTTTTGCTGAACACATCTTCATCAGGAGAGAAGAAGGTAGTTTCTCTTTCAAGATCTCCATTTTCTTTTTGATTTTATCTTCTTTGTTCTGTGAATTACATTAAATTATTAAATTATATCTAATTTTATTGTATTCTTATATATTGTTGGTATTTTAGCCGAGTCCACAGTCTGGCTCTCACGTTAGATATATCAGGTGGTTGGTCGGTCCATTACACTGGTCCAGACTAAATATCTCAACAATTATTGGATGGATTGAACAATGGGTTTTGTACAGACATTCGTGCTGCCCAGAGGATGAATCTTTCTGATATTAATGATCCCCTGAGGTTGATGTTTGTAGATTTCAGTGAAATATCTTAACAACTACTTTGGTTCAGACATTCACTGCCCTCAGGATGAATTTTAACAACTTTATTATCCTGGTGCCGCCATCAGGACAAAATATTTATTTATTTACTAATGACATTCCCATCAGCCTCGGCTGCACTTCGTGTTAAGTGTTAATTAGCAAATGTTAGCATGCTAACATGCTAAACTAAGATTATGAACTTTATACCTGTTAAAGCATTTAGCTCATTGTGCATTAGTACGCAGCAGCTACATGTGGAATGGCTTTAGACTCGTTAATAATTAGTTTTAGGTCATGTAGCAGTATATGTTAGTGTTTTTTTTTATATTCTGAATTATTACACTTATATTATAAACACAGTGCAACCAACTGGACACAACAACTACAGTCATGCTAATAGAGAAAAACATTTGAATTTGGCTGTAATGTTCACACTAGATTCTCAACCCGTTGACATTGCAGACCCAGTTTCTCATGTAGCAACAAGAACTGTAAATCTTTTATCGAGGTTGATGTCCTTCAGTGGACTGAGACAGACGAGGCCTGTGGATCCATGTTTCTGTTGGAGATAACGCTGTTTGTTTGGTCTGTAAAATAAAATAAAAGGTTCTTTGTATTCATAAGAGACATTAAAAAACACTCACTTTCCTGTCAGTTTAACAGAATCCAGCAAACACACATGACTCTTTTTTACACTGCACATATTGAACTAAATCTCTCTCTTTCTCTCTCAGTCGTTAATCTCTGTCTCTGTGTGTCTCTCTCTCTCTCTCTCTCTCTCTCTCTCTCTCTCTCACACACACACACACACACACACACACAACACACACACACACACACACACACACACACACAGGAGTGCTGATACCATCTAACAAAACACACTTACAGGCCAGATAGCGTCCAGTACCTGCTTCAACACAGCTGCTGCTACAAAAGCAGGGAGGAAACCATGGCTGGAGTTATTAGAAAAACACGACTCTGAATGCAGAGAAAGCAAGGTGGAAAAATACAGGAAGTCCTGATACAAGTGCAAAGACTGAGAGAGACAGGGGGTGATGGATGAAGTGAGGGATGCAGTAAGCTACTGGTTGAAAATACACATAAGAAGTGAAAATGTACAGAGAAACAACCGAAGAGCTACACGTACGTGTGAGCAATTACAGCGTTTCTGCCTCTCCATTATTCACTGACGATGACGATGACGCAGTTTTGGGGGTTTCTGACGAGTGCAGAGCTTTGAGAAAGCAGATTTTGGAACATCTTCTCTGTATTGAGATGACTCACTCTGCCCTTTTCTCTCTGTCTCTCTCTCTCTCTCTCTGTCTCCCTAATCTTGCAGCTATATTTAGTACTGGCATAATGCCCTTCCAGACAGATAAGTTGGCAACAGAATTTAGCTCCTCTCCTCTTCCATCCTCTCCTCTCTCCTTCACACTTTGTAGAGAGTGATGATGGCCATCGATAATACTGTCATGCAAGCTTATCAATTTACAGCCAGTAACTGTGATATGATCATTAACTTATTACCATTCTTTTGGTCTAAAGTCTGCTCTGTAATGTGAGGAGATAATTGGGGAACAAATCTGGACTCGACATCATATTGCCAACAGCTTTCATCATCCTCATCATCATCATCATCATCATCATCATCATCACATTATAAAAGGCATAGTGCTCAGCAGTACCAGTGCAGACAGGTACTGTATGTGCACACAATACACAGACAGTATCTCCTCTCTCAGGCTCCCTCATTTGAAAACAACACAAAAATACAAACTGTACTTTTGTTGAACAGCATCCACTGTGGCCTCAGCTGACAGACTGGGGTAAACATACTGGAACAGTAGCACAGGTAGAGAAGGGTCATCAGCTCAGTTACACTTTTAATGCTTTTAGATATTTCTATTCAATGTTTTACTCATAATAATATATAATAATGTAATGTTTTTGAGTTAAAATATCTTAATTTGGAGGCTTTTCTAAGCATGTCTTTGCCTTAACCCAACCCTTAAAGTCTCCATCTCACCCTTTTGCCACCCCACGAATATTTCTCTAGATCCGCCCCTGTATCAAACTGAGCAAGGGTCCTTTTTTTTTACTGTATTCAACTTTTAATAAGTAAAAGGAACAATTGGTTATTTTGTCTTTTTAAAAAAAAAAAAGTGTATTCTCATTTTAAGTAAAATAAGTAATACAATATAGTACAGCTAGTTTAATCCACAGGGAAGCATTATAATGCATGTGTGAGTGATGATAGTGGTATTGTTATTGATAATGGCTGGATGTTCTGTTTTATGTAATTCTGATTCTTACTGTATATCATTTTATGTGAGTTGGTTTTTAGCCCTTGGTTTACATGACTTAAACTTGTTCTCTCCTAATGGAGCACAGGACTTTCACAACTCTCCTCCATTGCCTCTGGTCCTGGGCTGCCCTCGCCACCTCTGTCCAAGTGTACTTTAGTTCTTTTGCCTCCGTGTCTTCTGACCTCCTCCAGCTGTTTCTGGGTTTTCCTCCTTTTTTGTCCCCTTGTGAATTCCATGTTCAAGTCTGTCTGGTTTTGTTTGGGTGTGTGCAATCTAACCCACTTCCTTCTCCTCATCTTGGTGTCTGGTTTGTATTGATTGGATTTCTCCACGATTCAGAACTGTAAAGCTGCACTGATTTAAAACTGGCGCTGAATATCTTGAGTTTGGTGTTAACATATTTCCTTTGAGTTGCAGATGGGTGTAGTTGTAGATTTGTCTTTGTTTCCCTTTATTAGACAGGACAGCTTGAAGGATGGACAGCAAAGGGGGGAGAGAGAGGGGGGATGACATGCAGCAAAGGACCACAGGTCGGATTTGAACCGATGGCTGCTGCAGCAAGGACTCAGCCTTGGTACACGGGAGCAATACAAGACAATTTTAAAGCTATAGTAAAGTTGAACTGGTCACAAAGTAACAGGTAACTTAGCTCTAAAATAAATTAAAAAGTACAATATTTGCCTCTGAGGTCTAGTGGAGTAGCTAAGGTGGTAAAAGAACACATTCAAACAGAAGTACAGATATTTGTGGGAAAAAAGACTGGAAAAGTAGAATTACTGATTCAACTCACTCTCTCTTGTTGATTTTGGGAAGGTGTGCAATGATGCAACTCCACTCAAATGTATTAAACTAATGAGCTTGTTTTGAAAATGTAAGGAGTAGAAAGTAGAGAAATGTATCAAAAGATGGATGGTGTAAAAGTAAAACGTTACTAATACTCATGTAAAGTTACCTAAAAAAACTACTTAAGTAGTAGGAGTAGGAGTATTTGTACTTTGTTACTTCCCACCTCTGTGGAGTAAAAGTATAAAGTATCATAAACTGGAAATACTCAGTACAAGTGCCTCCTAACTGTACTTGAGTAAATGAACTTTGTAATTTTCCGTCACACTGCGTGGGGAAGCACACCTTTGTACTCGAGCAGCTTCTGACTCAGCAGTACAAATGAGAGGAGGATACGGAACAATATTATGTCTCATAACACCGCCTCACATCACACACACACGCTTACTCTGTACCCAACTCCCAGGGTGTCACTGTAATCAAAAGTGCCTGTTTACCTTTCATTACCGTCAAAAGGAGAGATTAAAACAAAGAGATGAGGTCAAAGCAGAGGGACATTCGCCGGGGACAGCAGCGTGGATAAATAGTGACAGGAAGAAAACGACAGGTTTATATATGAAAAATAAGACATTTCCTTTAATAACTTCTGTAACATCATGGTTGTATCCTGGTATCATTTTCAATATATTTGACGATGCAGTATACACTCTTATGTGGACATTGAATCGATTAATTGGCATTTATATACTAATACAACATAAAACTGCATTGTTTTCTACAAAGACATCATAATAGGGCACAAATGGTGTAGCAGCAAAAAAGAGTGTAGGTTTTTTTCTTTATACAGAGGCTACAGTAGTACAATGTATTTGCAGAGAAGAGATTCATTGCAAAGTACAGCTAAAATGAAGTTACAAATACATCTCTAAAGTATGCACTACGTCATACACAAGGTCACGGCTGGATATTAGTGATTATAAAATGTTATATAGTTTAGTAAGGGGTCTCTATAGGCTAAGACACTGGAGGCTAGAACAGGGCTACCTTTACAGTACAATGTAGACTGTGTACATACAAAGCACACTGATGTTTGATACTGACACAGATCAGGACATTGGAATAGGATATTAATATGTCCAAGCTGTATATCTTAAAGAGTTGTGATGTTGAAATGATACTAATACTTTCTGATGGACTTGTTGCTAAAATAAAAACTAATTTGGTCACAAGAAATAACAACTGGAGCCCCATAAGCCCTCAAAAAGTGATACCAACACCACAACTCTTTTAGGTGGAATGTTTTTGATGATAAGTCGTACATGTCTGCATGAGTGGAGCTTTTTCGATCTGAGTCCATTTGCTCCTTCAGTTTTGCCTTCAACTAAATTTATTTTTTTCCAGTGGACTAATGTACAGTATGTGCAAGTGCAATCTGTATTGAGGTTCAGGGATTTTTAGGCTTCCCAAAACATTTGTTTGCTTGTTCCCAAAATGATCAATAATCGAAGTATTGAAGAAACTATAATTGCATGAGCACAAATAGCTGCAAGTGAGTAAAAAAAATGTAGAAATTCGGTAAATACGCTTTCTTACTGAGAGTTAGATGAGAAGATTGATTCGACTCTAGCTAGATCAGCCACCAGTTAGCTAAGTTTAGCATAAAGACTGGAAGCGGGGTGAAACAGTTAGGTTAGCTCTGTCTAAAAGTATCAAAATGTCTATTAGCACCTCTAAATCTGACTATGTCTTTCTTGTTAAATCAATTCAAAAACTGAAGGGTAAAATTTTATGTGCTAGACTATATTTTAGCTGAAAGCAGTGACTTCCCACAGTCTCTGCTGGTTGCATGTTCATAGTTTGGCACAAAACCTCAACTTATTGTTTTATCAATATATATATTTTTATATATATTAAATAAAAGAGATTAACTAGTGAGTTTTTTAGGTGCATCTTTATACACTGACTTTTTTTTTAACCTTTCGACAGTCACTAGCTGTTTCCTCCTGTTTCCAGTGTTTATGCTCCAGCTTCATATTTACTGTGCGCTGTAACAATCTTCTCATCTAACTTGCAAATTTCAGAAGCGTATTTCCTATAGTGTCAAACTATTTATTTAAAGCCAAAAATTGCCAGTACTTTGAAGCAACAAGCACTTTGAGAAAACATCTCCTGTTCCACATTATCACACAGTGTCCAGGTCTGTACTCAGAGGACCAGTTCAGTGCTCCTCATATGAAAAATGCTTCCCTTCAGATTACTAAATCGCACATAGAAAACTCCTATAAGTTTGTCTAAACCAGTGATAATCACTACAGATCTGCTGCAGCTCCACATCTCTACACTGGAGACTATGCTTATTGCTAAATGTAAATAAAAAAACAACATCATTATCATAAAAGAGGTCTGACATAACACAGAGAAAGTAACAAAAATGCTCTAATACTTGGTCATTAATATGTTATGATATAGAGGTAGTGATTGAAGCATTGATTGACAGTAATAACAAACACTGAACAATGGACTCGAGCGTGGAAAAAAACAATTTCATCTCAATAGAGTATAAATACAGAGCTTATCACACCAGCTATTAAAACAAAGTTCTTTTGATCGCGGCTAACACACAAATAATTCAGACTCTGGACTTTGGGGAGACTACAAACATGAATGATGGAGTTTAAAAGCTACTATTGAAGCTAGGAATCCACTGGTAAAACTGAGCACAGGAGAAAGGGTCTGAATGAATCAAAAATAAGTTTAAACTCCATGACCCGCCATAATGCCTCCTCTGAGCTCCGGCTGCAGCCCGCCACACTGACTGACAAGCTGCTCAAGTCCTCATGCTTTCTGAAACTGTTGCAGTTCCAATCCCTGTTCCCACCCAGTAGCCAAGCAGTCATGAACTAACATGGAGTTAAACCGTGAGTTTCAGTCAGAATATAAACAAGTTATGTTCCAAATGAATAATACTCTTTCCATCCCGGCTCTAACACGCAACAAAA